AACAGATTACATTCAAGGACCAAAACAAAACAGTTTCAAAACTGAAGGATCTCGTACCAGATTAACCCAACTATCCCAAAACGCGACGTACCACTCCCAGACTCAATGCGCTGCCGTTTTGAAACTACACAAACGACACCGTTTTGGCGTTTTGGATATATGGAAACAAAGGGTAAGTTTTAACCCTAATCCTCATTCTCATCCTATCTCTAAACAGCTGAAACCTCACCCCCACCAACCGTTTTCTCTCAACCTCTTTCCTCTTCTTCTTCAACCCTCACCGAAGCCCCCAACCGCCGTGGCCTCCGCCGCCTAAGGGCTCCGATGAGGAGCCTAGACGTCACCTGACCCTTTGCCGACCAAACCCAAAACCAAAGGGCTAAAACAACCCTAACCTCACTGCCACACCACACGACCACCATGGGTTCCCCCTTTCTCACTCGTCTGTTTACTCAAAACCCAGGCCTCCACCACTTAAACACTCCGACGAGAACCCCCATGTCCTGACTCAGAAACCCCAACTAGATCTAGCCTTTTAGAGACCTACGACCCACGAATAAACACGAAAACAAAACCCTACATACCCACCACTCGAAACAGGAACCAAGAGTCACGCGAATCTTACCCTTGATGACCCAACGTGGCTCGGTCTTGGGCGATGGCGACGTTCTGCTCTTCGACTAAGGAAGGTGAAGGGTTTTTTTGTTTGCTTTGTTTTTTGTTGACTGATATGCTAATGGGTTTTTGGACTCTGGTTATGGATTTCTTCTGTTTCGTGGTCCTTTTGATGGTTGGTTCTCTGCTTCGTGATGACTGGTTCCCTCGATGATCACTGGTTTGGTGATTGTGTTTTTTTGGTTTTGTGCTTTTTTCCTTCGATGATAGCTGATGGGTTGAGCGTTTTTTTTTGCTTGGATGATGACTGATAACTCCCAGAACCCAAAATCTCCCTTCTGGTTTCGTTTTCACTGCTATTTCTAGTTGATTTTTTTTCTGTTTTTTGTGCCTTCTGTTCTGCTTCTTGTTTCGTGTGTTTGCAGGGCACTGGCGAGAGCAGATCACGGGCGGCAGCTGTGGGTAGCTGAGCCATTGCTCGGTTGGTCGTGCGCGATCTGGAAATGCAGTGGTGGCTTCACGTGAGTCTGCAGTCGGCTCGGGAATCACAGAGGGCTGGGAACCGTTGGATCGTGGAGCCAGATCCAACGGCCTTCCTGCTGCGGCGCTAGAGGCTGGTGACAAGGAAACCCTAATGGGTTAGGGTTTCTTCAGTTGGGCTGAAGAACTGGGTTGTTGGGAACTGGGCTCGTTTGGTCCAACCTGTTGTAATCTTAGTTTAATTAGAATTTGTAAAAGACCAAAATAAAACATTAATCAGTATTTAGTTACTTACTTATTTATATATATAAATACTATAATATTTATAAGTACCCAATGTATATACTCGTATGCATCACTAATATAGAACACGTAACCACTATGAAATCCAACATATCATTAATGATAACCCTAACTAACGTGTCCTACGAACTTAGTAATAACCAGAAATTAATCATAAGGATACACATAAGACGTCCCGGACAAAATGAGCATCTACAATAACATGACTAATATCAAAATACGTCTCTAACACTCTATTAATTAGTCTCTTTGGCTCGTATTCTTTTTCTAGAGTATTTCGGTCTTAATATTTCATTTTAGGATTAAAAAATCTCTATTTTAGAGTATTGATCGTTTGTTGACCAACGGTTTTCAATATGGAGAAACTTTTTACTCCAATATAAAATATTAGATGTCAAAATATTCCTTAAAAAATTAGGACCCGAAATAATGTCTCATCAGTTAAATATCTTTGCTTCATCTCCTAGACATCGACCTCGATGTAGAATGAATGGTGGAGGCTATTAGTCGCTAGTATTGAACGCTTCAACGACTCTTGGAGGTAGTAGAAAGGAGGAAAGTTCTTCCTATAGAAAAAGAAGGTGCTTAAGTCGTTTGTATTTGGATCCAGGTACCTTTACTCTGTTGAATTTTCTATTCTCCTTTTTAATTGGTTGAATCGATCTGGAAAAGAAAATAGGGGATCTTACCTCTTTTATTTGGATCCACACCCTATAGTGACAAATACTCGAATCCTCTAAAAAGAAAAACATTCTCTTTTATCATTGAGGCCGGTCGATGAGTTCGACCAATTTATTCTTATATGTTTAACTCTAAAAATGCAAATACATACGACATTAAACATAAACCCAATCTATTAACAGAATCGTCTCACTGTTGCAACCAAAACCCAGTCTCCCACCGTGAAACTACGCATATCGTCGTACAAAACTCCGCGATTAGTTTCAAGTCAAAAACCCTGCTACCACCACTCCATCTTATCACAAATTAAGCATACATGAAGGTGATCTCTTACAAGAACTTCAACTGCACAGAAGATTGGTTGGTCGATTGCTGTATCTTACACACACTAGGCCTGATATCACTTATTGAGTTCATATTTTAAGTCAATTCGTTTCAGCTCCACGGCAACCTCATCTCATGGCAGCCTATCATTTGTTATCTTATGTTAAGAAAACTTCTGACTTTGGTTAATTTTTACTCATCTAACGATCTTAAAAAGATGTAAATCAATATGTATGGATAAAAAACTGATTTATATTGGATACTAAAATTCATTGAAACAAATATTATATATATATATATATAGTTAATCATTCGTATTTGGTTTATTAAGTAATTAATTAAAATCATCTACATTCATATCCCTAGAATTCAAATTCTAAATATTATTTAAGAAGCCTAACATTTTATCCCGTTAGATCAAATTATAGTTAATGGGATAAGTCTTCCTTTTAACATGTTGTCATTGCCAAAAATACATGCATTAATTATAAGTCCCCACCCAAGAAAATGGCTCATATATGAAAAATAAATCTTAACGTCCCCTTTAAATAATGGGATTGACTAATCTAGAACGAGTACAATAGAGACAATGACGACTCTTCCAACCCAATTTGCTCCATTCTTAAACATCAGAGTTCGAACCATTGATCTTGCTTAAGGGATCTAGTGTCTCATCTCATTATAATTGTATTTTTGAAACCTAGTCTTAAAGTTGTAAAAGTGCATTCAAGGAACTTAAGGGCTCAATGGTTTTTAATAAACTTGGAAACTCAAAACTATGTTGATACATTCGGTTGGTACCGATACCATACCTAGAATATAGATACTAATAGAAATCGACACGATACATATAGAGTAAGAACCTCGGCAGCGAAGTATGAGCGGCGCAAGTCAGGGTCTACCATGTCCTCCTGCTGGAGGAAAAGGGCATTGACCATAGGTAGGAGCACATCCACCTCCTCGTCCCCGATAAGCTTCAAGAGGCATGAACTTGATCATCATAAAAGTTAGGATCAAAGCCACACCAACTGGTTTGGCAATAAGGAACATATCGGTTTTCATTGTCGGAGAGTTCTAATGAGAGGAATTGGCGACGATGATTGAAAAAATTGGCATCCGTTTATATACAAATTTCCAAGCTGTTGGATCACCAACTTACCACTCAATTTCTCTAAATTTTATATTCAGGACTTAGTCAAGGTCTTGACCTCTTCAAAAATGGTAATATTTCAGAATGATCATTTTAAAAAATAGAATAAAGTATGAATTTCATCACTCCTATTTTAGTTACTAAAGTTTAAAAATTTTTAATTTACTCATTGAACTTTTGATTTGCTCCTATTTTGGTATAAGTTAATACAAAGGTAAGTTATCAGCTTGACTAGATTTCGATGTTGAACATTTCTTAAAACCTCGCATGGAGATGTTACCTTGGAGATTATTCTGGCTTAAATTTAGTGAACGAAGCCATCTCAATTGTCCGAATTCACTCGGGATATTGCCTTTCAAACTGTTATTGAATAGGTTAGCCTCCCTTAGGAAGCTCAAATTCCCGCTGATGGAGATATGGAGCCGCCAAGTTGCAGCCCAGGCAGGCTCAAACCGATGACCCTTTGATGGAGATGTTACCTTGGAGATTATTCTGGCTTAAATCTCGCATGGAGATGTTACCTCATTTTTTATGGTTCATTATATTTTGTCCCCTTGAAATAGTATCTTGACACCGTCCGTTGCAGTCCATATTTTACAGTTTTGGCTCTTTTTATCGTTATACCTGTATCCCGCAATGCTTCTTACCAGAAAGAGGTATCTTAATACAAACTTATCATTATACCTTTGGATATACAACTCTTCTGTCTAGCTACTTACTAACTAATGGCTACATCTATATGTTTTATTAATCTAATAATAATAATAATGAGTCTAAGTTTGATATAAATACTTATAAGAAATCCTTGGCGTTGGTGGATCTTCATCGCTGAATTAAAGAGTTTGATTATTTGCAATTGAAAAGGAGTTGGGCGTTGGCCGCAGTCCTAATGTTTCTTTACTTTTGTGCAAGATTTTGTGTAAGGAATTTGATGTCTTGATATGGTTGTCTGGGCGTTCTAGTCTTTTAAGGTCGGGGCTTGTTTAGTGGTTTCAGTAGGTTCTAGGAGTTTGTTGTTTGTTTCTGTTAGTTGCTTCTGTTGTGTTTTTGTTTCGAATATATTTTTTTCTTCCATTTAGGTCTAGGGAGGTTTTTAACGGTTGTGTTTTTGTTTCGAATATATTTTTTCTTCCATTTAGGTCTAGGGAGGTTTTTAACGAGGCATTCTTTCATAGTGAATTATCAATAAAATCAATCCTTGCTGAGCAAAAAAAAAAACGTTTAAGAAGTCAGTATGTAAACACTATACTAAGCGAGAGGAGGAGGTTTCTTCTTCTTTGGATTGGGACTTTCCATCTTACAATCCTTCTTATCCCTTTTTCTTATCATTCAAATATTGATAAAAAAAAATAAGAAAAAAAATGAACTGCTAATGGTCGATGTAATCTTGTTCCATCAACGGTTATAAATTTAAATAAGATAAGCGTTGATTATCTGACGTTGAATATATGTGAACCTCTGACGAAATTTTCCTCCGCTCAACTCTTTCTTTTCCCTGCCCCTCACAATCTTGCTTGTAATCAGACTTGTTGCTAAACCTTCAAGAAAAACAAATTACAGCTAATAATGGAGAAATCAAGCTTGAAAATCGATTGTATTGTTCACTTCAGCTTCTTGCTTTGCATTGTTGCAGTGATCACCTTGGTATCTACTTCCTTCAAACTTGGCATGGCGGCCATGGGGAACGAAACTGACAGACTAGCTTTGCTTGCTTTCAAGGATCAGCTTGTTGGTGGTCTACTTTCATGGAATGCTTCGCTCCATTTTTGCGAGTGGCAAGGCGTTCGATGTGGTAGGCGGCATCAAAGGGTCATCAGCTTGAGCCTGCCTGCTATGAACCTTGGCGGCTCCATATCTCCATCCGTCGGTAATTTGAGCTTCCTAAGGGAGGCTAATCTATTCAATAACAGTTTGAAAGGCAACATCCCGAGTGAATTCGGACAACTGAGACGGCTTCGTTCTCTAAATTTAAATCGCAATAATCTCTATGGCAACATCCCTATGGAACTTGGCAATTGCTCAAGCTTTGTATTTCTTAATTTAAGTTACAACAGCCTTTCTGGGGAACTTCCTTCTGGATTGGGGGATGATATGAAGAATCTGATAACACTCTCTGTTGCTGGAAATGATTTAGTTGGGGGAATTCCATCTTCTTTGGGAAACTTGTCATCATTGGAGAATCTCAGACTTGAACATAACCATTTTGAAGGAGTTGTACCCGATTCTTTAGGTAGATTACCGAACTTGAAAATATTTTCCATCCAGGAAAATAACCTGTCCGGTATCATACCTAGTTCCATCTACAATCTTTCCTCTTTGACACATGTTAGTATGGGTCGAAATAACTTATCTGGTGGTCTTGCACCTCAGCTCGGTTTCGCTTTTCCGAACCTTGTAACACTGTATCTTACAGAAAACCAATTCAATGGAAGAATTCCGAGATCAGTCTCTAATGTCTCTGGTCTAAACCAGCTTGACATCAGCTCAAATGGCTTCAGTGGATTAGTTCCTGATGATCTTGGAAAGCTTCGAAATCTTCTGCTGTTCGATGTTCACGATAACGACCTTGGACTCGGGACAGAAGGAGACTTGGATTTTCTTTCTTCTCTAAGAAATTGCAGTCGATTGCAGTATTTGTACATCCATGCGAATAGATTAGGAGGGATGTTGCCAGACACCGCGGCAAATTTATCAGCGCAGCTTGAAGATCTTTATATGGGAGGGAATCCGATTTCTGGAAGCATTCCTCAAGGAATTGGTAATCTTTACGGGCTTACGAATGTTTATTTTGGGGAAAGCTTGCTTACAGGGAAACTTCCTGTTTCCATTGGACAGCTCCAGAATCTTGGCCAGTTAGACATCTCTTTGAATCATTTATCTGGTGAAATTCCATCCTCCATTGGCAATCTTTCTCGATTGTTGTACCTTTACTTAAACGGTAACGATTTTCGGGGAACGATTCCATCGACTCTCAGGGGATGCAAAGATATGGAGGAGATGGATCTTTCGCTAAATAAACTCGGTGGTACGATACCGGATCAGCTGGTTGCTGCTTTTCAAAGTTTGATTACTCTGAATTTGTCTCACAACTCTTTCAATGGTACCTTTCCATCAGATATTAGGAATTCAAAGAATCTCGTAGAGTTATATGTTGATAACAACAATTTCTCAGGAGAAATTTCAGAGCAGTTTGGTGAGATTTCAGAACTAAAAATCTTGCACATGCAGGGAAACTACTTTCAAGGTAGTATTCCTCGATCTCTCGGCTCTTTACGAGGTCTCGAAATCTTAGATCTCTCTGGTAATAACTTGTCTGGACCGATACCACTTGAACTTCAAAAGCTTCCATTTTTGGTGAGTTTAAACCTTTCTTTCAATCAATTGGAGGGTGAAGTTCCAGAAGAAGGGGTTTTCAAGAATATCAGTGGATTCGCTATTATTGGGAATAAGGATCTTTGTGGGGGAATCCCTGAAATAGAGCTTCCGAAATGCTTCGGTAAGAAGGCAACTGAAAAACGAAATGGTTTCTCGAAGAAATCGATTGTCGTTATCATCATTAGCCTTTCGCTTGCCTTGATTTCGGTTGCATTCATTGTCATCCTTTGCTGGCGAAAACAATCGCAAAAAGAAATGATTCCTCTGTCTTTGCGGCAGCAAGTTAGCCTCTTTCAAGTTTCGTACAAGGAACTTGTTGAAGCCACTAACGGGTTCTCAGCCTTGAACTTCCTTGGTAAGGGAAGTTTTGGGTCTGTCTATAAAGGGTTTCTTAATCAACAAGAAAACCCTGTCGCGGTCAAAGTACTGAACCTTGAAAACCTCGGGGCTGTCAAGAGTTTCATAGCTGAATGCGAGGTTTTAAGAAATATTCGACATCGGAATCTAGTCAAGCTGATAACTTGTTGTTCAAGCATAAACTTCCAAGGCAATGATTTCAAGGCTATAGTTTTGGAATTCATGGCAAATGGAAGTTTAGAGAGTTGGCTTCATCATGATCACGGTGAAGGTCACTCACGTCAACTCGACTTTGCTGAAATGTTAAACATTGCAATAGATATGGCAAATGCAATAGATTACCTTCATCGCCATTGCCGAACACCGATTGTTCATCGGGATCTAAAGCCATCCAATGTCCTTCTTGATGATGACATGGTTGCACATGTCAGTGACTTCGGCATGGCTAAGCTCCTTTTTTGTACTGCAGGTGATCTGGACAACGAGCAAACAACTTCCTTGGTCATCAAAGGAACGATCGGGTATCTCGCCCCAGGTCAATTTCATATCTTTTGTGATCTTATTTTTGCCTTAGATATACTTTTCTTGTGATGTATTCGTATTATGTAACCGTATCGTTTCAGAATGCGGCATGGGTGATCCGACATCCCCCGAAGGGGACATTTACAGCTATGGAATTATCATCTTGGAGATGATCACCGGAAAAAGGCCGACGGATGATATGTTCAAGGATGGGATAAGTCTTCATAGTTTATGTAAGATGGCATTGCCGGAACAAGTGGAGGAGATCTTAGATTCTCGATTGCTTGGAGAAATCAATGAGCGAGGAGATCAGAACATGTTGGACTGTTTGGTTTGGTTCACCAATGTGGGAGTTGCATGCTCTGTCGAAGTTCCTGACAAGAGAATGAAGATTGAGGATGTTGTCGCTGAATTGGTTGCAATCAAGGCAAGGCTGCATGGAATCCATGTTTAATTTAGAGTTGTCCGAGTGAAATAAACCAGCAATATGTCTGTGTTTGTAAAACTCGATTATTTAGACTAATCTTACGTTTGGTGCAATATCGTTTTACCATAATTAACATCCATAATTACAGATTCACTACCAATCTTTGTTATTGTCTTTTTTCATTGGGAATCTTTAACATTTAATTCAAATATGATCCATCAAACTAACTTTAATAAGCAACCTTCAACATATATTATTTAAGACAACTAACACGAGAGAGCACCAACTTACCACTCAATTTCTCTAAATTTTATATTCAGGACTTAGTCAAGGTATTGCCCTCTTCAAAAATGGTAATATTTCAGAATGACCTTTAAAAAATAGAATAAATTATAAATTTCATCACTCCTATTTTGGTTACTAAAGTTTAAATTTTTTTAATTTACTCATTGAACTTTTGATATGCCCCTATTTTGGTATAAGTTAATACAAAGGTAAGTTATCAGCTTGACTAGATTTCGATGTTGAACATTTCTTAAAACCTCGCATGGAGATGTTACCTTGGAGATTATTCTGGCTTAAATTTAGTACGAAGCCGTCTCAATTGTCCAAATTCACTAGGGATATTGCCTTTCAAACTGTGATTGAATAGGTTAGCCTCCCTTATAAAGCTGTTGTAACATAAAATCTTCCTGCAGGCAGTCTGGAACTGATGACCCTTTGATGCTCCCAACCACATGGAACACGAATCCTTCCATGAAAGTAGATCGCCATGAGATCCACCAACAAGCTGATCCTTCAAAGAAAGCAAAGCTAATGTGAACAATACAATTGATTTTCAACATAGATTTCTCCATTATTAGCTGGGGATTTTTGTTTGAAGGTTTAGCAACATATTCATGCTTTACTTCACTTGGACTAGTAGACTGAGTTGACTTCATTGAGTTGATGCTCGAGTTCGTTTGTCCATTGTTGTGCATATATATAAATTTGATGCAGTCTTTGCCTTAATTGTATGCAACAGTGACAACATCGTCAATCTTCAAATCTCTCGACAGGAACTTCAACAGAACATGCATGCAACACCCACATTAGTGAACCAAACCAAACAGCCCAACATGCTAGAAACATCGACCATTTTCATCTCTAAGGGAATCATTCCTTCATAGAAATACTGGAGAAGCATTTGCTCGGTTAATCCGTGTTGCAGACAACTTGCGCAAAGCTTCTTGAATATCTCCCAATAGTCGTAAAGCGGCTCTCCTTCTTTTTGTTTAATTCCCAATATGTTTCTACTCAATTCGCTTGCCTTTACCGCTGGGAAAAACCTGTCAAGAACGATTCGATTTAAACCAACCCATGTATGGATAAAATTTGGCTGTAAGTAAAATAACCACTCTTTAGCTAAACCAGATGAAGAAAAAAGGAAAGCTCGTAATTTTATTTAGTTATCGAAAACTCTCTGTGGTTTCATGCTTTAATAAACCAAGTGGAATTCGGCCAAATGTTTTTGTGGACTTTCATCAGGAAGCCCGTTGAAGGTAAGAAGAAGATGAATAAGCATTGTCTTTAGTTGAAACAGAGTTTAGCCTTGAGGAAAGACGATACAAAAGGGTTGTTGTATGGCAGGTGTCGCGACTAATTTTTGGATCGTGCGATTGTCCATTGGTTTGAGTGCTTTTGGATTCTCTCAATTCAGAATCGAGTCATCGCTTTAGCCTTTGGCTATGGAAAACTTAGCTAAGTATGATAGAAATCATACTTAGCATTTTTAAAAAGAAAACTTTTAAAGAAAAATAAAAGAAAAAGTAAAACTTTATAAAACTAAAGAAAGAAACAAGAGAATTCAAGAGTGAATGATCTCAATGATCCTAATGATGAATTGAGGCTTACCACAATAGGGTATTTATAGTCCTCAAAATTCCTAAAAGATTACATTAAAACTAAAAGATAATTATGAAAGATAATTCCTAAAATTAAAAATAAATCCTAATTTAAATTTGAAAAATGTTGCTAAGTCTCCTGTTCCACGTAATCTACTGACTGGACCTTCTAGAAGCTATTGACTGGATGTCACATCAACGAAATCATGCCCGTTAATCCAGTCATGATTCCAGAAAATCAAAAATTACACATTTCATCAGTTTTATTAACATTTCTGGAATATACTCTCTTGCATTGAAAATGAACGAAAAAGACCAAGTTAGCAACTTAAAATAACTAATCAAGGAGTAATTAATCACAAAATAATGCATAATTTGAGCACTAATCAGTGGAGATCTCCAAAAGCAGAGAGACCCCCCAAACAACCTAATCTACAATAAAAAAAACAAAACACTCAGCATGGAATTAGGGCAAGAGAATGAAGATTGAGGATGTTGTCACTCAATTGTACCTAGTAAGATCTAACCTGAATTTTATTTATTAATGATGTGACCTGATCTGAACAAGATCCGGCCTGAACTCCATCTGGAATTAACCTGATATTTCGTTGGTTAGGATCCGAACCATTTTGACTTGAACTGATATCGATTCGAACTGAATCCAATTTCAGATCAACTTAAAAATGACCTGATCTGATTCGACTTGAACCTAACTTGATCTGAGTCGAACTGTTACATTAACCTGACATTATTTGTATCCAATTTAACCTGACATTATTTGTATGCAATTTAACCTGACATGATAAGATCTGACCTAAAACCTAAACTATTACATGATATCACCGTTATTTTTATGCTTTTCGTTCCTTTCTTGGCTCATTCTTCTCTCCTGCTATTCTAGTGTCCATGCTGGTGCCTAGTTTCTTGGGTGCAGTGATCTTGTGTCCAGTGTTCATCGATAGGTTTATGTTAAAGCTCTTTTGGGTTGATGGATGAAGCAGGGATTTCTGCTCGTTTGGAGGTGTGTAGTTAATGTTTGTATTTCATATAGGATACTGTATGTATCTAATCTTTGTAGCTAGTTATGGACTGGGTTAGCAACGAAGTTTTCGGCTTTGGCTATGTTGTAATAGGGATCATGTTTATATCTTATTTTCCATCCCAAGGTTCATTCTTTTTCCTCCATTTACGTATAGGGAGGTTTTTTAATGAGGCCATTGGGATAGAATACTTTGTGATATCTAATACAAAGTACCCATTTTTAAAAAAAGAAGAAGAAGGTGTTGACACGAACTTACCACCACAATTTCTCTAAATTTGATATTCAGGACTTAGTCAAGGTATTGGTCATATGCCATGGTAGCTTCTGCCCACCTTATTAACCGATTGCCTACTAAGGTTCTTGATGGAATGTCACCTTTTGAGAAGTTATACAACAAGAAACCTGATTATTCTCAGCTGAAAGTGTTTGGGTGTCAATGTTTCCCTCACTTAAGGCCATTTCAAAATCATAAGTTGGAGTTTCGTTCGCAGGCTTACACATGTCTTGGCTTCAGCCCTAAGCATAAGGGTTATCAGTGCCTTGCAAGCAATGGACGGGTTTATATATCACGCCATGTCATATTTAATGAGTTAGTGTTTCCATTTGCAGGTAAAGACACTGGAAAGGTGCTTCACAGGACACCAACGTGGCAGGCTCCAAAAATTCCAGTTGTTTCTAATATCAAAAGATGGCATCAAGTAGCTGTTCCAGTCGATGCTGAAGATAGTGTGAATGAGGAGGAGGTTGAAACTGCTGCAAATCAAATGCAACAACACACAGTTGAAACTGCTGCAGATCAAATGCAAAAACATACAGTTGTAACTACTGCAGATCAAGTTCAACAACAAGCGCCGCCTGAAGTTGTGGCTGAAATCGTACCTGTCTTAGACACCGTTGAAGAGGTTGTGCCGGTTTTAGAAATTACCACGACTACCAGTTCCGATATTAATATGACTGATGCTGATGAACATACTGGCACTGGAATAAATGCATGTGATAATCTGCCCAGTGGGTCTGGAAACAATGTTGTAGGCTTGCTAAGGCAAAACTGTCACCCCATGGTGACTCGCAGCAAGCGTGGGGTATTCAAACCCAAGTCGTACGCCACCTACTTTGAAGATGAAATTCCCGCCTCAGTTCATGATGCATTGCAATCTGATAACTGGAGAGCAGCAATTCAAGCTGAACTGGATGCTCTTATAAAAAATAATACATGGTCAGTTGTAAAACTTCCAGCAGGGCGAGTTCCAGTGGGCTGCAAGTGGTTATTCAAAATCAAGCGAAACCCTGATGGATCTGTTCATAGGTATAAAGCACGGTTAGTTGCGAAGGGCTTTTCACAAGTGCCTGGTTATGACTTCACTGATACCTTTAGCCCGGTTGTGAAGTTTTCCACCTTCAATATTGTGCTAGCTCTAGCTGTAACAAATGGGTGGGAATTGAGACATGTGGACATCAATAATGCGTTTCTTAATGGGGACTTAGAGGAAGATGTTTTCATGAAACAACCACCGGGGTTTGAGCAAATGGCTGAGGATGGAACTCCTCTTGTCTGCAAGCTGCACAAGGCCCTCTATGGTCTTCGCCAAGCGCCCAGGAACTGGCATACCAAACTTAGAGACAACCTTGTTGAAATGGGATTTACTGCATCCCGAGCAGATCATTCATTGTTCATCAGCAAGGGGCATGGCAGTGACATTTATATATTAGTGTATGTTGATGACATCGTTATTACTGGGCAGTCACCATGCAAAATTCAAGAGGTAGTGCACTTGCTTGGAGAACGGTTCTCTCTCAAAGATTTAGGAATGCTTAGTTACTTCTTGGGAATAGAAGTACATCGTTCAAATGGCACTGTTATGCTAAGTCAAAAAAAAATTTATACTTGAACTTCTAGAGAAGGCATGAATGAAGGGAGCTGCTGGTTGTGGTACGCCGATGATCTTGGCTTCGAAGTTGTCAGCAAACGAGGGAGAGTTATTGACGGATGCTACAGAGTATCGCAGTATAGTAGGCTCGTTGTTGTATGCATTCCATACACGACCTGACCTAGCTTATAGTGTTGGAAAAGTAGCTCAATACATGCAGGCGCCACGTGAAGCGCACACGATTGCAATCAAACGAATATTGAGATACTTGGCTGGTACTGTTAACTATGGGTTGTTGTTTCGACCAGTGGATGACTCCTTGATGATTGCCGCATTTGCTTACGCAGATTGGGGCGCGAATGTTGATGATCGAAGGTCCATATCTGGTTTTGGAGTGTTTGCAGGCAAATGTCTGGTTACCTGGTGTTCTAAAAAGCAAAAAACTGTGTCAAGATCAATCATGGAGGCTGAGTACAAATGCATAGCAGACACTGCAGCAGAAGTGACTTGGATAAATGCTCTACTTGTTGAACTTGGTCTTCCACAGCGACAAGAACCAGTAATATGGTGTGATAACACAGGGGCAGTAGCAATGAGTGCAAACCCTGTTTATCACGCTTAGTCCAAACACATCGACATGGATGTCCATTTCGTTCGGGAAAAAGTTGCTGCTGGCCTGCTGAAAGTAAACTACGTTCCAGCCGCACATCAGGTTGCAGACGGGTTCACCAAAGCTTTGTCTAAGACTGCCTTCGAAGAATTTCGCAAAAACGTGTGTGTGGTGTCTTTAGTCTAGTTGCAGAAAGAGAAGAAGGAAATAGTAGGGGGAATGTTAGACTGTTGATATGCGTATGGTTCTGGTCTATGCATGTGCTGTGCATTCACGTGTATGTGCTTTAAACAGGTGGTTAGTTTGTTAAAAGTTAGCTAAGGCTGTTAAGCAGTTAGAGAGAGTTTGTTGAGCCGTTATTGAGCCATTGTACACTTATAAATTGCTGCTCATGTTGATAATAAGAGAAATGCTTTTCCTGTGTAATCACCTATTCTCTCTACTTCTCATTACCAAGGTTCATTCTTTTTCCTCCATTTACGTATAGGGAAGTTTTTTAATGAGGTCATTGGGATGGAATACTTTGTGATATCTAATACAAAGTACCCATTTTTTAAAAAAAGAAGAAGAAGGTGTTGACACGAACTTACCACCACAATTTCTCTAAATTTGATATTCAGGACTTAGTCAAGGTATTGGTCTCTTCAAAATGGTAAAATTACATAAAGATTCCCTTCAAAAGTATAAGATCATAAATTAATGTTAAGGTAAATTTTCAATTTGACCCTTTAAAAAAATTATATTTCGATTGTTGTTCCCTTAAAAAAATTTGAAAACTTATTTAGATCTACTCGTGTATGGTTAGGTGTGAATTTAGGATTTTTTTTTTTAGAATTTCAATCATCATTAATGGTGATGGTTGACATTGATGAACAACGCCTAATGCGACAATGACCGGTAACATTTTGGTTTGCCTAAAAAAGGAGTCAATTTTTTTTTTTAGTTTGAGAAAAGATGAAACAAAGAAAAAAATGTGTTTTGTATCAATGGAGTGGGTCGGGCTGACTCGTCTCTAGACTCACAGACGACTTAATCCGTTACGTGATTCCCCCCCCCCCCCAAAAATATGTTTATATATGGATAAAACTGATTTATATTGGATATTAAAATTGATTGAAACAAAAATTATATATATATATATATATATATATATATTTAATCATTCGTATTTAATTAATTAATTAATTAATTAAAATCATGTACATTCACATCCCTAGAATTCAAATTCTAAATATTATTTAAGAAGCCTAACATATTATCCCGTTAGATCAAATTATAGTTAATGGGATAAGTCTTCCTTTTAACATGTTGTCATTGCCAAAAACACAAGCATTAATTCTAAGTCCCCACCCAAGAAAATGGCTCATAAATGAAAAAGAAATCTTAACTTCCCCTTTGAATAATGGGATTTTGCATTTTAGTTCCTCTTTAATTTTAAATGTCATATCAAGTCTCTTAAGTCTTTAATCAAGTGAAAACATTACACTTCTAGTCCCTCCTAAAATTATAGTATTTAATTTAAGCCATTTAAAAATAATTTTATAGTTTTGGCTCCTCCAAAATTTAGTTTTATCCCATCCCACCAACGGGCTTGACTTCGTCCTTTATATAGGCACATGGATTAGTATGATCGGTAAGGATTGGTAACCAAACCAAAATGGTACTTTAATACAGATTTTAATTATACGCTTTTTAAAGGTCAAATTAAATATTTACCATTTTATTAATTTGTATATAGTATTCTTTTATAGGGATCTTATTGCAATTTTACCCTTTTTGACGGGGTCGATTCCTCTAAGACTAAGTCCCGAGTCTCAAGCTTTATATATCAGCTTGACTAAGCTGGCAAGGTTTTAATCGAGTTTTTTTTTCTTATATCTTTTCATACCTAAACTTGACAGATTTTCCATTCTAGTTTTTCCAATGACATGTAGTCTGAGATCAAAAGAACTGTGATAGAAAGTTGTTAAATTCATTAACTAAAAGTTATTTTTGTTCTTTTTTTTTTATATAACTAATACCTTAACTTAATGACCACGCACTCACATTCTAGAGAAATAACCGCTCAAACTTGGATATGTCATAACCAAATCATAATAAACATAAAACCTAGGCAGGATATGTATGTCAAATTATTAAGAATAAAATACTAGATGCGAAAGCTTATCTAAATAATTAATTGATAGGTTGAAGTTCTTGCATTTTTGTTGTTGTTGTGATCTTCTAAGAAGATAAGTTTTCTCTTGCTGTGAAAACTCTATGATGAGATAAGAGTAATACAAGTTGACTTATTTATTTATTTATTTATTTTTTGGATAATTCAGATTTTATTACCCAATGTCAAAAAGATACAACCAATCAACCAATCAAGGGAAACGACAAAAGGAAAATCAATACAAAAGAGATTGGTTAGACAATATCCCAAGCATTACAAAGCTTTAGATTAGTACTATCAAGTCTATTTATGTTAGTTCCCCTTAGTCTAATTCCAACGACTTCTTTGACATCTTTGAGCAAACCTTCAACCGTTCTATGACGTCCTAGGAAGACCCTCTGATTTCTTTCCTGCCATAGAAAATAGATGCAAGCAGTCCAAGAAATTTTCAAAATGGTGATAAGGAGAGACTTCCCTTTCCATGAAGAAGAAGCCCTTGAAACCATACCATCCCATTTATTGGGGACTACTATCTCTTCATATAGAATAAAATTAGGTCAATTTACTAAGCATTTATAATTATGTCCCTCATTAAATTATAAATACAACTTAAGGTATATATACTTATAATTTCATTATATTTTAATATCTATATATGACACATGTAACATAATTGGTCACTTAATTTTGTATCATACTTTATGATAATAACATTGTACACTATACATGTATTCCCACAATTATAGATTTTTATCTAACGGGATCCTTTGAAAATAACAACATTCTCTTGTTTTTTTTGGATGAATATTGAATTTCGTTATAACAAAGAAAGCAGAGAACTACTACAACTAAAACAATCCAATTAACCCAATAATTTTAGAAACTTAAATTTAATTATTTAACTTGTAAAGTTGATATAAAATTATATCTAAATTGATGATGAAATAATGTTATTTATAAATGTATAAATACTTATTAACAACTTACATAAATTTTAACATTTTAACGATAAAATTTATAACAATTGTATTATCTATTAAGAAAATTGTTTCATGCATATGTAAAATTTAAACTCCATAATTATATTTATTTGAATTCGTATTATATCAACTTATAATAATATCAATGACTCAAAATTTATTTTTGAAAACAATAGAATGTTAGATTAATGGTTCTTAAAAAGGTAAATTGAATTGTATTCAAGTGATTAGAATTGTAATTTTTTTAAATTAATCATTGGTGTCTAATCTATTAATTGACTAATTTAGATCGAGTACAGTAGAGCCAATGACGACCCTCCCAACTCAATTTGCTCATTCGTAATCATCAGAGTTCGAATCTTTGACCTCGCTTAAGGGGTGCCTCGTCCCATTATAATTGTATTTTTGAAACCTAGTCTTAAAGTTGTAAAAGTGCATTCAAGGAACTTAAGGGCTCAATGGTTTTTCATAAACTTGGAAATCCAAAACTATGTTGATACATTTGGTTGGTACCGATACCATACCTAGAATATAGATACTAATAGAAATCGACACGATACATATAGAGTAAGAACCTCGGCAGCGAAGTATGGCGGCGCAAGTCAGGGTCTACCATCTCCTGCTGGAGGAAAAGGGCATCGAGACCCAGGAACCAAGCGACCAGGATGACATCCATCCCCTAGTTTCCGATGAGCTTCAAGAGGCATGAACATGATCATCATAAAAGTTAGGATCAAAGCCACAGCAACTGGTTTGGCAATAAGGAACATAGCGGTTTTCATTGTCGGAGAGTTCTAATGAGAGGAATTGGCGACGATGATTGAAGAAATTGGCATTCGTTTATATACAAATTTCCAAGCTGTTGGATCACCAACTTACCACTCAATTTCTCTAAATTTTATATTCAGGACTTAGTCAAGGTCTTGCCCTCTTCAAAAATGGTAATATTTCAGAATGATCCCTTTAAAAATTAGAATAAAGTATGAATTTCATCACTCCTATTTTGGTTACTAAAGTTTAAAAAAATTTAATTTACTAATTGAACTTTTGATTTGCTCCTATTTTGGTATAAGTTAATACAAAGGCAAGTTAGCAGCTTGACTAGATTTCGATGTTGAACATTTCTTAAAACCACGCATGTAGATGTTACCTTGGAGATTATTCTGGCTTAAATTTCGTGAACGAAGCCGTCTCAATTGTCCGAATTCACTTGGGATATTGCCTTTCAAACTGTCATTGAATAGGTTAGCCTCCCTTAGAAAGCTGTTGTAACATAAAATCTTCCTGCAGGCAGTCTCAAACTGATGACCCTTTGATGCTCCCAACCACATGGAATGCGAAGCCTTCCATGAAAGTAGATCGCCATTGGATCCACCAACAAGGTGATCCTTCAAATCTAGCAAAGCTGATGTGAACAATACAATTGATTTTCAACATAGATTTCAAATATTGATAAAAAAATAAGAAAAAATGAACTGCTAATGGTCGATGTAATCTTGTTCCATCAACGGTTATAAATTTATATAAGATGAGCGTTGATTATTTGCTTTCGAGTAATCTGACGTTGAATATATGTGAACCTCTGACGAAATTTTTCCTCCGCTCTGCTCTTTCTTTTCCCTGTCCCTCAGAATCTTGCTTGTAATCAGACTTGTTGCTAAACCTTCAAGAAAAAAAATCACAGCATATAATGGAGAAATCAAGCTTGAAAATCATTTGTATTGTTCACTTCAGCTTCTTGCTTTGCATTGTTGCAGTGATCACCTTGGTATCTACTTCCTTCAAACTTGGCATGGCGGCCATGGGGAACGAAACTGACAGACTAGCTTTGCTTGCTTTGAAGGATCAGCTTGTTGGTGGTCTACTTTCATGGAATGCTTCGCTCCATTTTTGCGAGTGGCAAGGCGTTCGATGTGGTCGGCGGCATCAAAGGGTCATCAGCATGAGCCTGCCTGCTATGAACCTTGGCGGCTCCATATCTCCATCCGTTGGGAATTTGAGCTTCCTAAGGGAGGTTAACCTATTCAATAACAGTTTGAAAGGCAATATCCCGAGTGAATTCGGACAATTGAGACGGCTTCGTTCTCTGAATTTAAGCCAGAATAATCTCCATGGTAACATCCCTATGGAACTTGGCAACTGCTCAAGCCTTGTTTTCTTAATTTAAGTTACAACAGCCTTTCTGGAGAAATTCCCTTTGGTTTGGGGGATAATATGAAGAATCTGATCAAACTCTCCGTTGCTAGAAATGATTTAGTTGGGGGAATTCCATCTTCTTTGGGAAACTTGTCATCATTGGACTATCTCAGACTTCAACATAACCATTTGGAAGGAGGTATACCCTATGCTTTAGGCAGATTATCGAGCTTGAAAATATTTTCCATTGCTGAAAATAACCTGTCCGGTATCATGCCTAGTTCCATCTACAATCTTTCCTCTTTGACACATGTTAGTATGGGTCGAAATAACTTATCTGGTGGTCTTGCACCTCAGCTCGGTTTCGTTTTTCCGAACCTTGTAACACTGTATCTTGCAGAAAACCAATTCAATGGAAGACTTCCGAGATCAGTCTCTAATGTCTCTGGTCTAAACCAGCTTGACATCAGCTCAAATGGCTTCAGTGGATTAGTTCCTGATGATCTTGGAAAGCTTCGAAATCTTCTGCTGTTCGATGTTCACGATAACGACCTTGGACTCGGGACAGCAGGAGACTTGGATTTTCTTGCTTCTCTAAGAAATTGCAGTGGATTGCAGTATTTGTTCATCCATGGGAATAGATTAGGAGGGAGGTTGCCAGACACCGTGGCAAATTTATCAGCACAGCTTGAAGCTCTTAAAATGGGAGGGAATCCGATTTCTGGAAGCATTCCTCAAGGAATTGGTAATCTTTACGGGCTTGAGGTTTTTTATTTCGGGGAAAGCTTGCTTACAGGGAAACTTCCTGTTTCCATTGGACAGCTTCAGAATCTTGGCCAGTTAGACATCTCTTTGAATCATTTATCAGGTGAAATTCCATCCTCCATTGGCAATCTTTCTCGATTGTTGTACCTTTACTTAAACGGTAACGATTTTGGGGGAAGGATTCCATCGACTCTCAGGGGATGCAAAGATATGGAGAAGATGGATCTTTCGCTAAATAAACTCGGTGGTACGATACCGGATCAGCTGGTTGCTGCTTTTCAAAGTTTGATTACTCTGAATTTGTCTTACAACTCTTTCAATGGTACCTTTCCATCAGATATTAGGAATTCAAAGAATCTCGTAGAGTTATATGTTGATAACAACAGTTTCTCAGGAGAAATTCCAGAGCAGTTTGGTGAGATTTCGGAACTAAAAATCTTGCACATGCAGGGAAACTACTTTCAAGGTAGCATTCCTCGATCTCTCGGCTCTTTACGAGGTCTCGAAATCTTAGATCTCTCTGGTAATAACTTGTCTGGACCAATACCGCTTGAACTTCAAAAGCTTCCATTTTTGGTGAATTTAAACCTTTCTTTCAATCAATTGGAGAGTGAAGTTCCAGAAGAAGGGGTTTTCAAGAATATCAGTGGATTCTCTATTATTGGGAATAAGGATCTTTGTGGGGGAATTCCTGAAATAGAGCTTTCGAAATGCTTCAGTAAGAAGGAAACCGAAAAACGAAATGGTTTCTCGAAGAAATCGATTGTCGTTATTATCATTAGCCTTTCGCTTGCCTTGGTTTCGGTTGCATTCATTGTCATCCTTTGCTGGCGAAAACAATCGCAAAAAGAAATGATTCCTCTGTCTTTGCGGCAGCAAGTTAGCCTCTTTCAAGTTTCGTACAAGGAACTTGTTGAAGCCACTAACGGGTTCTCAGCCTTGAACTTCCTTGGTAAGGGAAGTTTTGGGTCTGTCTATAAAGGGTTTCTTAATCAACAAGAAAACCCTGTCGCGGTCAAAATACTGAACCTTGAAAACCTCGGGGCTGTCAAGAGTTTCATAGCTGAATGCGAGGTTTTAAGAAATATTCGACATCGGAATTTAGTCAAGCTGATAACTTGTTGTTCAAGCATAAACTTCCAAGGCAATGATTTCAAGGCTATAGTTTTGGAATTCATGGCAAATGGAAGTTTAGAGAGTTGGCTTCATCATGATCACGGTGAAGGTCACTCACGTCAACTCGACTTTGCTGAAATGTTAAACATTGCTATAGATATGGCAAATGCAATAGATTACCTTCACCGCCATTGCCGAACACCGATTGTTCATCGGGATCTAAAGCCATCCAATGTCCTTCTCGATGATGACATGGTTGCACATGTCAGTGACTTCGGCATGGCTAAGCTCCTTTTTTGTACTGCAAGTGATCTGGACAACGAGCAAACAACTTCCTCGATCATCAAAGGAACGATCGGGTATCTCGCCCCAGGTCAATTTCATATCTTTTGTGCTCTTATTTTTGCCTTAGATATACTTTTTCTTGTGATGTATTCGTATTATGTAACCGTATCGTTTCAGAATGCGGCATGGGTGATCCAACATCCCCTGAAGGGGACATTTACAGCTATGGAATTATCATCTTGGAGATGATCACCGGAAAGAGGCCGACAGATGATATGTTCGAGGATGGGATAAGCCTTCATAGTTTATGTAAGATGGCATTACCGGAACAAGTGGAGGAGATCTTAGATTCTCGATTGCTTGAAGAAATCAATGAGCGAGGAGATCAGAACATGTTGGACTGTTTGGTTTGGTTCACCAATGTGGGAGTTGCATGCTCTGTCGAAGTTCCTGACAAGAGAATGAAGATTGAGGATGTTGTCGCTGAATTGGTTGCAATCAAGGCAAGACTGCATGGAATCCATGTTTAATTTAGAGTTGTCCGAGTGAAATAAAGCACCAATATGTCTGTGTTTGTAAAACTCAATTATTAGACTAATCTTACGTATGGTGCAATATCGTTTTACCATAATTAACATCTATAATTACAAATTCACTACCAATATTTGTTATTATCTTTTTTCATTGAGAATCTTTAACATTTAATTCAAATATGATCCATCAAACTAAGTTTAATAAGCAACCTTCAACATATATTATTTAAGACCACTAACACGAGAGAGCACCAACTTACCACTCAATTTCTCTAAATTTTATGTTCAGGACTTACTCAAGGTCTTGCCCTCTTCAAAAATGGTAATATTTCAGAATGACCCCTTTAAAAATAGAATAAAGTATGAATTTCATCACTCCTATTTTGGTTACTAAAGTTTAAAATTTTTTAATTTACTCATTGAACTTTTGATTTGCTCCTATTTTGGTAAGTTAATACAAAGGTAAGTTATCAGCTTGACTAGATTTCGATGTTGAACATTTCTTAAAACCTCGCATGGAGATGTTACCTTCGAGATTATTCTGGCTTAAATTTAGTGAACGAAGCCGTCTCAATTGTCCGAATTCACTCGGGATATTGCCTTTCAAACTGTTAGTGAATAGGTTAGCCTCCCTTAGAAAGCTGTTGTAACATAAAATCTTCCTGCAGGCAGTCTCAAACTGATGACCCTTTGATGCTCCCAACCACATGGAACACGAATCCTTCCATGAAAGTAGATCGCCATGAGATCCACCAACAAGCTGATCCTTCAAAGCAAGCAAAGCTAATGTGAACAATACAATTGATTTTCAACATAGATTTCTCCATTATTAGCTGGGGATTTTTGTTTGAAGGTTTAGCAACATATTCATGCTTTACTTCACTTGGACTAGTAGACTGGGTTGACTTCATTGAGTTGATGCTCGAGTTCGTTTATCCATTGTTGTGCATATATATAAATTTGATGCAGTCTTTGCCTTAATTGTATGCAACAGTGACAACATCATCAATCTTCAATTCTCTCGACAGGAACTTCAACAGAACATGCATGCAACACCCACATTAGTGAACCAAACCAAACAGCCCAACATGTTCTGACTTTGCTCATTGATTTGTTCAAGCAATCCAGAATCTAAAAATCTCCTCCATTTGCTCTGACAATGCCATCTTACATGAACTGTGAAGCCTTATCGCATCATCCAACAAATCATCTGTCGTCCTATTTATTGAGATCATCTCCAAGACAAGAAACCCGTTACCAGTGGAGGATCTTGGTAAAATAATTTAGGGGTCTACTTAAATTTTCAAAAAACAATTAAAAGTTGAAATTAAATTTTTTAAAAATATTGAGATTTAATGAGATCTTTCAAGAAAAAGGAGACTTTTAAAAATATTTGAAGAAATTAAAACTTAATAAGAATTTTTAAACTTTTAAAGGGATCAAATTAAAATTTTAAAAATAGGTTAATGGGATCAAATGCTACTTTTCTGAAGTTTTAGGGACCAGGGCTCTGTCTGACCCATTACCATTCTCCTTTGCCCATAACAGTAAATATTGACATGTTTAATTAAACAGTTTGTTTGTAATTTCTTGAAATTTAATGATTCGATTATAATCTTACTAATAATTGAGTGACCTACTATGTACTTTTTCCTAAAAGTAAGAAAAACGTGTACTTGAAAGACTTTGACCAAAGAGAACTGGTAGCCATGTCATTTTGTTGCAAAAGAAAAATTGAAATAAACGTTAATTTTTTAATTACGATTATGTTATTTTATTTGTATTTTGTAACAGTTGAGTCATTTTACATGTAGATGAATATGAGATTTAGACTTAAAACGAGTTTTATTCTGATTTGATTCTATTTGATCAGAGTTTTCTTATAAAATGTAAGTTTAAATCGGGTCTAGTTTGAGTTTAGGAAGAAAAATCTCGACCTGATTTGATTCGGGAATATTTTTTATATAATTAGGGATAATTGTAATAATACTCTTCTTTCTATATATTTTTTCCAATTAGATCCTTATTTTATCTAATGAAATGAGAATTTTTATATAAATTAGTGTGTTGAGTCTAGTGCGGGTGTATGTGCAGGTTTGTACCTTAAAAGTTGAATTCGCTTTAGGTCGAGTAGAGTCTTCTAAAACCCGAGTTGAGTCGAGTGACAGATGAAAAGAATATGATGTTCAGGTTAGGTCGACTAAAAACTCGTCTCGTGTTCATCCCTAATCGATTATAATAATCATATTACTCAATAGTAATCCGTTTCAATTTTAACAACATGGGGATTTATTTGTTACAATTGATCAATTGAATGATCTATTTGAAACGTTTTAAATTTTTATGATCTATTTATAAACTTACTAATAATTGAGTGGCATGTGTTGCATTATATCCTAAGAAAACAATGAGGGAGGGAGGAACGTGTACATCAGGGACTTTGACCAAAGAGGATTGGTAGACATCGGCAAGTGAAAACCAGACTCCAAATACTCTTAACAACCAAAAACACCCAAGCGGTCGTTTTTAGAACAGATCCCCTTCCATCCTCGTACATCGTCTGTCCTTTCCTATAATCCCAGAAACTCCATTAACACTAAAAGATCAAACAGTCACTCGTCAACTTTCTTGTCACCCTCTGGAATTCACCATGTCTGATATTGTCCAAGAAGCATGGAGAAAATATCTTATTCAACTTCAAGCTCACCCTCTCAGAACCAAGGTAATAAAATCAACATGTTTTTTTTTTATATTCTCTCATTTTGATCAATACCCATGTTTTCAAAATGATTACTTTATTGAATTCTCGCTTCGATTTGTGCTTCCCATCAATGGGATCTTGTTTGATTTGTTCATTGATTGTGCAGGCAATCACAGCCGGGTGTTTAGCTGGTTGCAGTGATTTGATAGCTCAAAAGATTTCTGGGGTCAAAAGGCTTCAGTTGAGAAGATTGCTTCTGATCATGGTATGGGTTGACTATTTTTTTTTTTGCATTTATTGCTCTCTCTGTGTTTGAACTTTGGATCATACTCTCAAGTTTCCTGTTTGGATGCCAAGAAAATTGAAAGAAAAATTGGATTCCCTTTGCAGCTTTATGGGTTTGCATATTCAGGACCATTTGGGCACTTCCTTCATAAAGTGATGGATATCATCTTCAGGGGAAAGAAAGGCAATAAAACTGTTGCAAAGAAGGTAAGAAAACACATGATTTTCATATTGGCTTTCACTTCCAATTCCCAGGTTTTCTTTCACTGTTTAGTTCTTGGAAAATTTGAATTTTGATTTTTGATTGTTCAAGGTGTTGTTGGAACAATTGACTTCTTCTCCTTGGAACAACTTCTTCTTCATGATGTATTATGGACTAGTGGTTGAAGGTATGCATGTTCGTCTTCTTGAAGTACTTGTATTCGACGCTGATCTCCAAGTAACATAGAGTTGTGATATTATTGGTATTATGATTTCCGTTGTTGTTCTTGTTGTATCAGCAATGTCGAAATGCTTCGGGTTTGGCCTTTGATCCAAGTTTAATATTGAATTGCAGTAATCCGAATCAGATTAACATTCATAGATATAAACATACTACATAAGTGGAATGCTGAATGAATGCAATTCTGTTTTTGTAAATAACATTGTGCTGTTGTTTTTCAGGAAGGCCATTGGGTTTAGTCAGAAGTAAAGTTAGAAAGGATTACCCGAATATTCAATTGACTGCATGGAAGGTATGTCAACAGAAACGATGCACGATATACGGTTATGTAGCTATTGTACTCAAACTCGGGACGAGTATATTCGATTTTTCCCGATGTTTTCCATAGGTTTGAAAGATCATACTGTTGTACCCCATGTTAAAATAGAGTCCGGTAACATAGCTATATGTCTACAACTTGCAGTTTTGGCCTATAGTTGGCTGGATAAACTACCAGTACATGCCTCTGCAGTTCCGAGTTCTGTTCCACAGTTTTGTAGCCTCCTGCTGGTGAGCCCTTCATCCGTCGTTCCCGTATTCTATTCCTTTCGTTTGTTGCGTTGAAGTGAATTTCGGAGACAGATTTGTGTTCGACATATGTATATTTCTGTATGATTAAGGGATTTGTCCTCGTATCGATGTTCGTATAGCATACATAGACATGTTGCTAATGCTTTTGTTGTATGCTAACTTTCAGGGCCATCTTCCTCAACCTGAAAGCAAGATCCAGTGCAATTAAGGCGGCGTAGCGAAAGGCTTCTCCTTATGCAAATCTCTCCTACCCATCTCAAGAACTTTCTTGTTTGTTTGGAGGGAAAATTCTCCCATTGTTAAAGATTTGGCTTGCAACACTTTTCTGTCGAGGTTTTCGACATTGTCCAATTCTAAACTAGGTTTGATGTTGTGGTTGTTTTAGTCTATTTGATTAGAAGGATGATTTCGGGTTTTTATATAAACAAGATCATCGTTCGGTATACGAAAAAATTGCAATCTTCCAACAAATCTGTAATGAGATTCTAAAGTGAAATCCCACCTTGATTTAATTAGTTTGTTTAAAAAAATTCAATTGAATCCAATGTGTGGTTTTAGCACCAAATTAAAGAAAACAAATCAAAATTTAAAATCAATGATTGCGAAACATCATGTGAGGACTCATCTTTTCATGGTGGACACTGATCAATGGAGGAGGAACATGATGATAGGAATATCTGACAAATCATCAATTTGGCTTACTCTACAAATGTGATAATTTGTAAAGCAAATCTTATAAAAACAGAGAGAAAGAGAGGATAGTGGGTGATTGCTTAAGAGGTTGCTAACCATGATTTCAACATTGAACTTGCATTTCACTCCAAAAACAAACAAATCATTCTCTCTCTCTCTCTTTTCAAATACATTTTGTATTTCAGTTCAGAACCGCCATTGTTGAAGCTTTAAACACTCTGGATGCTTGAGTTTTGAGGATATAATCGAGGGAGAAGAATTGGGTGGTTTTCGTTTTGATCCAAACTGTCGAGTTTCGAGAGAGCTTCACCAGATTTGTAGGAGATACTTCTCAGAATATACAAGTAAGCCATTGTTTCTTTTATGTCGAAAGAATTATGAATCACTCCACTGCAATCCATGTGTTCGTATAAGTGCCCGTGTTATATATCTATCTATATATATATATAGAATATGCAAATCGTTGGATGAGTGAAAATAGACAGTTGAGATTGCCGGTAGGATAAACTCATATTATCATGTTCAAGGTTGATCATCACTTGTATGAATTCGGCTCTGTTGAATACTACATTAAGGTAATCTTCCAACATTGTCTGCTATTACCTTATTTCGAGATCAACTATGACCAATCCTAAACCGACTCTGCTGCCATCCTAAATTTGAATATATCATATATGTATAGGTTTATGTATGTGTTTATGCGTATGAAAGAATTTGAGGTCATTTCACAATGTATGCTATACCTGAACAAAATGTTTGAACAATTCATCTTTCTGGTTTTTGTTTCAACAGTCGTCAGCATCCAAACCGTTTACCTACCTGTCAATATCGACTCCTCTGCTGTCCCAAGGAGTGTTTCTATCACATGGGCTATCGCCATATACCCTGCAAATGATAAGGGAAACCTTTTGAAGATTTCAGCACTAATGGAGGATTTGTCTCTTTTGGTATCTTCGTTTTTCTTTGTTGAAACACTCGGTATTGCATATTAACATGCTGGTCTGAGTAACATGGCATAATCTTAAATTACATGCGACACTCACACCATGTAAAGGTAAACAACTTTCTTAAATTATTGTTTTCATATTTGGAATTTTAAGAACTGGAGCTTTAAATGTCCTCCTCCTGGCAATTTTGTTCCACAGTGCACCAGAGGCTTCATTCAAAGAAGGACGAGAAGGCGAATGGACAGTTTGGTTCAGGTATTGAGCTCGGTTCATGATCATACTGCATACGTATAACCATCAGACACCTACATATCCGGACATGAACACTTTTAAAAAATGTCGATCTATAATTAGGGTTCATAGTACATATCGATATATGTTAACACACACCCTACATGATCCTCTAAATATACAAAAAATAGAAAAATACTTGAATATTAGATGTTATAATATTTAATTGAGTAATTAAATTATAATTTTTTAAGAGAAAAATAGTGATTCATTTGTAACCCAATTAATAATCAAATCTCCTAAAAATTATTTTACCTTAAAATAAATATGGTGGAGTGGAATCTAAGTTTGACGGTGAGGATCGTCGTATGAACAATCCAACGGATACCATTATGTCATCCAAAGAAGAACCACTAGAATTCGAGATCCGGATTTTCCCGGAAAATGGTGGACGGTTAATCACAAAAGCAGTAACCAAAACACATACGCCAATCTCACCTTCCAAAGCCACTAGTATATGTGTGGCCACCAAATGCTTCAATGGCTCTCTTTCCTCCACACACCGCCAAACCCTAAAAATGAATATATCTATCGCTTCGAATAAACAAGAAAATACCACTCACAAGCTGCTGAGCAACAAAGAAAAGAAGAAAACCAGTGTTTCATATCAGAGCTACAAGAGAGCTTCGACTATGTCGTCTATGGCGGTCTCCACAGTCGGGTTTAAGGGAGGTTTGGGGAGTTCGTTTAATGGAGGTAAAGACCACGCCATGTTGGCTAAATCGGTTCCCAACGTTGTTCGCGTGGGAAAGGCGGTTAGAGCTCAGCCGGTGATGAAGAACGTTAACGAAGGGAAAGGGTTGTTCGCGCCGCTCGTGGTGGTTACCCGCCAGATTGTTGGCAAGAAGAGGTTCAATCAGCTTAGAGGAAAAGCCATTGCCTTGCATTCTCAGGTACGGTTTACACTTACGTTCCTGTTACATGAAATTTTTGGATAAAATAGAAAAATTAAATTTTAACATTGAAACGCATGCATGAACTGTGAGATTCGACTTAAGAATTGTGATAATTTTATTAAATTATTCATTTTTTTTAATGATTTTCAGGTAATTAATGAGTTCTGCAAAGCAATAGGAGCTGACGGTAAACAAAGGCAAGGCTTGATTCGTCTGGCTAAGAAGAATGGAGAAAGGCTTGGATTCCTCGCATGATTATATGACCGTACACGTGTACTTTTGTCTTTGATTATTATTACAGATGTTTCAAGTTCATGTAGTTTTATGTCAAGAACATCCTTCACTCTAGTTTGTATTATAGTATTCCAGACAATCGAACAAATTCATCGATGAAGGTAACAAGTTATCCGAATTCGGTTCAGTTAAGGAATTTTTAGATTTCAAACTATGATTCAGAGAAGCAAAATCTCTAAACAATGGCATTGGCTGCACTTGCAATCCTTGGCCATAGATCAGCGCACTCCTTTCCGATCGGATCAGACCGGTTATGGCAGAGCCTTTCATTTCTCCCTTTGGATTCACAATGACATCGGCATTATCTGCAATTGAAACAAGATTCGAAACACAAACTTAGAACGGCAGAGCATCAGAAAAGCTGCATCTATTGAACATATACTTGAAAGCAAACACAGGGCTCGAATGGAACAGCTGAATGCTCCAAGAACGCAATGCATATACGATAACAGTGGCACTCGGTTTTCCAAACTAGTATGTAGGTAGGGCTCAAATGGAGCAGATGCAAGCGTCAAAAGCTCAATGCATCTGCAACGATGAACACACTTGATTTTCCAGACTAGTAACTGTATCAACTATTGGAGATTGCAGTCGATACACAACTATTGTCTGGAATAAGATAGACGGGAAATTCCCGGAATAATATAGTTATGCTGCTCATAGGAAGCATCACACGAGACGAGATTAACATCTACATCTCAACACCCTTTAACGAAAAACCTCTTATCTTCAGCAAACAGTCCAAACGTCACTCATCAATTCCATACCTATAGCGTCTACAATTTTACTAGACCTCAGTCCTAGACTAGCTATGAACATTCAAATTTCAGATGCTTAAGACCGATCTCGACCAACATAAATTGATAGTTATGCTGCTCCATCAAACGAGAGAAACATATACATCGTGACACCCTTTAATGACAAACATCTATCTTCAGCAAACAGTCTAAATACCACTCGTCAATTCCATACCATCCTTTCGGCGCCAGGGCTTGCGCTGCCTCAAGATGACGGCAGGCAAAACCTTCTTCCTCAGATCAGGCTTCACTTTCTTGACAGTAGCCATCACCGTGTCTCCAACACAAGCCGATGGCAAGCGGTTAAGGCGGCCCTTGATTCCTTTCACCGATATGATGTAGATGTATTTAGCACCGGTATTATCGGCACAGTTCACGGTGGCTGCCACCGGTAAACCCAGTGACATCCTAAACTTGTTTCCAGCTGATCTTCCGCGTCCTAGTCGGAAAATGGAAAGAGAAGTAAAGATCAAAACTTTTTCAGGTATCAAACAGCTTATGAAAAATAAAAAACAACCCATTTTTCTCGGGAAACAAACGCATGGGTTCCGAGAATGGTCTAAACTCACCTCGCTTCTACATTTTCGACGGCCGAAGAGAAACAATGAGTGAAAGGTAGGGTTTTCCGAGGAATATATACGGCTTTTCTACGTAATTGTTGAAGATGATGATGATGAGCTTCAAGCTCTAGACCTTCCCCTACTTTGCTAGTTGGGGCCTGGGAATTGAGCTTCCAGAATGAATTTGACGATTATTTCAAGAAGCTTAATGGCCAAGTGCTAAACAATGTTTTTTTATCGAGTAAGAAGTTGTTTATTTACTTCAGAATGATTAAGTGCTGGATGATTTAAATGTTGAATGATTCAAAGTCTGGATGAATTAGCATTTAATGTGACATGATGTTTGTTTACTTGCTCTAAATCATTCAGAATGTACTTCTGTGCTGAACCATTCAGCACTGTTTTGCTGAATCAATCAGCACTGAATCATTCAGAGGTACAAAACAAACGCGTTGAATACTGAATGGTTCAGCATTCAGTACTGAATGGTTCCATTAAGAGGTAAACAAACATCCCCTAAGTGTCTATATTTTTTTAAGTCATCCAAGTGTTTAATGTGTATAACGTTATAAACGTAGCATTTTAGTTGTTTGATCCATCAATGATGTTAGTTTTTTTTGTTAAGTGACCTTTATCACAACCTAATAATAAAAATTTTATATAAAATTTTAAAAAATAAAATTATATATTTTTAAAAAAGAGAACACATAAATTTTGAAATAACCCTACACTTTGAAAACCTTCATTTTAACTCCTAAACCCACGTCAACCGCTGTCATTTGCCGTCGAAGAAGTTCCACTCGACCTCCCCTCCCCTCGGCAACCAAAATCCTATGAAATCCGGATTGATTGACTACCGATTGACGATAAATCGACGTTTTAAATCCCGCGAACCCTAGGATGAAAATCGTGATTCCGACAGTGAATCGACGACATATAACTAGGATGATGACAATGACTATGGCGGTGGAGGCGGTCATGGTCAAAGAGGACGGCGACAGCGAATTAAGGTTAGAGTTTGGCAATATAAGAAAAGTTAGGGTGTATAATAATATTTTTAATATTTTTTAAAAGAATAATTTTAAAATTATGAAGTTACGATACATGTCACTTAATTGGAAAAACTAATGATGTTGATGGCTTAGTCACATAAAATACTAACGTTTATAATGTTAAGCGCCTGGATGATCCAAAAAATATAAACACTTTTTTGACACAAAAGATATAGTTTGTATACATTAAACCTTTGAAGAAAAATGACAGGATAGAGGCAAAATATTCATACCTACAGTAATTTGATTCGAGCATAAAGACCCTGTAATTTTAGTCTGACACGATACGATATGATAAAAATATACAAATTAATACGAACAATGTATACGGTATACAAATATACAATCACTCCATCCAAAATTTATGCATTGGATCAAAATGTGCAAAATACATTGTACCATTGTTTATGAGGAATCAAAGCCTAGGTAACGTAACAATCTTCAACAACAGTCAACAAAACATGAAAAAATAACAATCTCGAGTTCTACCTAAATCTCAATATTGTAAGGGGCCGGTTACGACTACAATCGCGCTACCTCGACTGCTGTACATTTTTCGTATGGATGTATGCCACTGCTATCGACAAGGACTGTAGAGCTGAGAGTGTAGGTTGAAAATGAATGAAATACAGGCCATCATGAACATTTGATATGCTCAATGTCGGCCAACTTTGCTGGGAACCCTGAAACATGGAAGTCCGGAAACGGTCATCGCTGTGATTATGATACCATATAGTTTGTGTTTACAATACCATGATCTAAGGGGAAGCAGGGACACTGGTTTGTACCTGAATGAAAAAATCGAATGACTTGCAGGCCACGGATGTTTCACTTGGAGACGAGACTCCTTTATTTGATCTGCCTTTAAGTACCGTCAGCGGACATCCCAAGTCCCAGCCACCACAGTCGCAATGTCCACCAGACCTCCATCTTTCGATAAGGCTCGAGGGGCCGCAGTTTCGGATTCTTGGACCACCATGAATACCTGCTGGAACTATAATGCCCATACTTGTTGAGCAACCACCGGTATCACGAGAACAAGCAGAACGAACAAGGGTTTCCGTAGGGTCAACCTTTTGCTTAATCCCTGTTTTCCTGAGAAAGTTTAAGCCCCAACCTCCGAGTTCCGAATGAGGATTTTCGGGGAAATGATGGTTCGAGACAATAGCAAGCAATTCAGAATTCGATGGAAGTTGTTCCTCTAAAAGATCTGTGTCATCTAGTGCATCAGAATTGTTGAGCGTATCATGGCATGGATCCGAAGAAGAGCCTTCGATCAAGGAAACTGATCGACGAAATCTAGACATTGTTCCCTGCTTGGACAAAGGACCACTCTTGAATATTTGTGACACCTTTCTCGTTAGACCCTTATTCTTCCTGTGGTTATGGCTCGAAGTTTGCAGATCCGGACTAAAAGTTCTGTTGCCACCGAACAAAACAAACTCCGTCTCCATGATGTTAGAATCTTGGGGGCCGATGGAGAAAGAAGTAGATACCTTCATCTTACCAACAAGATGTAGCTCGTTATCACTAGTCCCATGTTCCATACGGCTACCCTTGCTGGAACGGAACAAGTACGTATAGCCCGGACCTTTATTCCGAACTGACCCCTCCTTCGAGAGGTTAGCTACATATACCTCTCCCTGATTATCCAAGGAGAAAACAAAATACGGAATCCCACCCTTCCATGTGCATTGAAGCATTCCCTGCGAAATCGTTGAAGAAGTAGAAGAAAAGGACTGATCGGAGCATGTCGAGTTCGAACTTGACACCGAAACAAGCCTTTTCTGCACAGTTTCAGATCCATATTTACGAGTATTTGATACCGGTGCTTCACTTCCGAGCTTATTGGAGGAATAATTCATGAAAACACCAGGAGAGCTTGTGAAATCGTAACTTATTGTTGATCCTTTAACATCATTCGAACTCGGATCAACATCCAATGCACCAAACTTCTTTAACAACGGGCTCTTCAATATAGTTGCCATACTCCTGCTGCCCATTATAGAACCTACGACCCATGGATCCACCGGACCAATGACGACATTACTGGTCTCAGCATCGAGTGGACAGTCGAAAACAAACCTGCCAAAATCGCTTGCATCTTCATCTGGGATTTTAGTTGGATTCAGTCCATCGGCTAAAATACCAGTGTTTAGAGAGCTCAAATTCACAGAGATGTTGCATTGAGCTGCTTTTGCTGCATTGATCTGAATCAAATCCAGGCAACGACAAAGATATTTCTCGTCTAGAGTGACGACATGCCTCGGAATCTTACTACTTATGCCGGAAATACTCCGTCGGAATGAATCCTTTATAAGACTCTTTCCACCTTGTAAGCTTTTAACACTCGATATCGAAGCATGCCATGGATTTACCTTTCTCACCAGCTTCTTCAACTTCAGTTCGGAATATCCCATTCCATTATCTCCCGAGATATCCTTGTTTCGTGATGAATCCTCGTTCCCCTTGTTATCTTTCAGGCCGGTAACAAAGGCTTTCTCCATCTTCTTCCTCCAATCAAATACGGTGCCTAGCGACGGGCATGACTGATCACCATTTTTCTGTCTCGATGTGGGTGATTCCGTGCTATATGAGGCTCCAACTATTCGGATTCGTAACTCACAAGAAATCTGAAGAAAAACACAAATGATTACATCGATACAGAACCGAAAACAGGAAGAAAATACAAACGTAAACAAAGTCATGACTCATGCATGACCAATTCTTACTGCAACTAGAAGTACAAGAACAAATATCCTACAGATCGAAACATAGCGTATCGAACACGAATCGTGTTTGTATATGTACATAAACTGTATGAAATAATGAACAAGAGATACAATAACAAATATCCTACGTTCCAAGCAAATGCCAATCAAAGGTAAGTTAGTTAGCAATCAAAATCAGTGGCATACAGAACATTTTTGCTCCAAAATAATCTATGTTACTCCGACTCTTCCTTATTCCTAAACCATCCGCACCCTACACACTCTAACATTCGAATATACACGAAAAACGAAACATACTCGCATAGAACACACACAGAACAATTAATCAACATACATAACCAAAATCAAAAGGCTTGATTTTTAATTCTCATGTCCATGAATCTCACAGTACAAACACAAAGAAATCAAATTGAAGATCACATCTCATCAGTTTCACCATAAAAGACCCCAGAAAGTTGGCTGGAAATTCAAGCCACGAAAAGACCTTACCCTCAAAGCAGCAAGGAGATGAATCCCAAACCAGATTGATGAGAAGAATTCTTATGAACTCGATTACCTTGATTTGCAGAAAAGGTTGGAGCCTTTAGACCAGTAACTCAGCTGCACATAAAAACACGTTGAATCAAAGAAAATCAAACACTGAACCCCAGAAAATTTCAGTATCGAACACAAAGTTAAAGAACTAGAGAAAACCAACATCAAAAATAGAAAATAAAGAGGAAAGTTGCAGACTTTTATGAATAGAATATGTGAAAAGATTCACTTTTTTTCTCTTACCTCCAGAGAAAAGGATCCAAGAAAAAAATATCAACCACCCCAATTCCACTACACAAGAAATAAGATTTCCAGTAAAGGGGGAAAACACAGTCATCACCTGTTAACCCCGTGTTTAATCCGAGTGAAGAAACGAGCATTGACTAATATAATGAAAGAATGAACAGAGACGAGTTTGTTTTTTTGTCAGAAGAAGCCAAGTGTTGTACTAGGTTCCAAAAAACACTGTTTTGGTTTGATTTGCTGTTAACCGTTATGATATTAATATAAATACCAAAATTAATAATGTAAAGACGACATAAATATATGAATGCGGATTAAGACGGGAGAAAGAAATGGTGTTGTGAGGCACGTTTTGTTGTTGAATTTTTGGTTTCCATGTTCATGTCTCCTCCATGGTTTTCAACTCTCTAGGAGTAGACCCCACTTTGCTATATGGAAATATTACACTCAAAGTCACTTAATTATGTTTGATAAATATATAAGTTAATTTTCTTCTAAAAGTTACAAATAGGCCATTCATATCAGACATGAATATTGATATGATATAATATCAGGTTTAGTTCTTAAATTTTAGGCTTAAGGGTCACATTTGCCTCTGTAGTAGATCCAATTTATGATTTTCGTCTCTATCATATTTTCATATAAATTTATCCCTCAAAGTTGTTTAATTGTATCATTCTATACCTTAGCTCTAACTTAAACCCTAAGTTAAGGTTTAGGGTTTATATGTTATAGGGATAGAGTTTAGGGTTTAGATATTATGGTGTTATGGTTTAGGGTTTAGAAGTTATAGGGTTTAGGGTTTAGGTTTATAATTTAGGGTTTAGATTATAGGGTATAGAATGATGCAATTGAATAACTTCGAGGGTCAAATTAATACGAAAGTGATAAATTGAGTCCGCTACAGGGGTAAAACTTACCCTTTTACCTGAAATTTATATAGCATGAGTCATCATTTGAGATAAATTAATAAATTTAATCCTTCATATTAAACAAATATTTTTTTATATTTATTCTTCAATTAATTTACCCGTTCTTCTCTTAGAAATGTTACATTACCTTTTTATTATTTTTGTATAATAACAGTTTAACAGTAATTTGTTATTATTTTATAATGTGCTATAATTATTCAATTGCTACTTTGCTTTGATGGACACTTGATCTGATAATATTATAAAAATATTAAATAAATAAAAATTTTAAATATAAAACTTTAAATTTATTAAGTTATTTCAAATTACGATAAAATTGATAAGATATATAAGTTTTCGAGACAAATTGTTATTATATTATGTCACATTAGATATTTACTTCAATTTTAGTCGAGTGACATGTTTGTAATAATATTTTAATTTAGAGACAAGGTTATAACTTTTAAAAGAAAAATGATATCTCTGTTATTAAACCCATAATTAAGTGACGTTGAATGTAAATTACCTTTTATATTTTTATTTTATTTTAGTCAAATTTGAGGATAATAATTAGAAATGGAAAAGGACACATAAGGAAAGGGGAAATCTTGATAAAGAAACCATTAAGGATTGCATTAAGAAAAAGAACATAGAATGAGCTGGAAACGCAGTGCGTAGACTTGCTAATAAGGAAGTATATCTATGGATTTAATAGACAAGCCAAATATCATTGAAATTAATCTAAAATAAATCAACAATGATATATAAATAATTCATTTTATTCTAACTTAAACTCGATATATCTAAAATGATTACAAGTATCTATCGACAAGAGAATAGATTATTTTATCGTCTTCTGTCAGTAACATTTGATAAGTAAGTATAGTTGGTGGGTTGACGAATTTATTCATTTTTATTTTCTAGTATTTTTTTAATTCATGAGTTTTAAGACCAGATCAGTATAGTTTTTGAAAAATAACTTTTAAAAGTATTGTAGAAACGAATTTTTAAAAGTGTTATACAAAAATGGATTTGAAAATATAAAATGTTCATTACGAAGTACAAACCATACGTTGTAAATTAAAAATATAGCATTAAACTTATATTTACCTTTATATATATATATATATATATATATATATATATGAATCATATCAATTTAAACTATAGTAAATTTAAAAAAAAAATTACAATATATGAATTAAGACATGTGAAGGAGAGAGAATAATGGAAGATTTGTGGGCAATGGTCAAAGTGGGTACCCTCATTTCCTTATTTTTCCAAAGATATTTTAATAATTTTCCCAATTAAATTATTATGTAATTAATATGAAATTTTATATATCTTTCATTAAAACATATTACGAGTACAACACAATCTTATTCATGTATTCGAACGGCATAACTAACCACTCATATAAATCCTTAGGAGTCTTGAATGTCGTCTTCAAGTCGATCTTTGAAAACACCTTATGCGAATGAGGTATTAGTATGTCAGAACTCTTTTGGTTGCTTTCGATTGACGTATGGTGATGCATGTGTGAAACCCCATAGCTGCAAAAGTTTCAAGTAGACACATGATGGGCTCAAAATCAAAGGACAAATATCATGCATGAGCAATGCACGTCAGTTCCTCTTAAGTGAAGGACCAAAGGGCCCCCTAAGTTTTTGGTAGAACAACATTAAGCCCTTGTTACTCAGGTATTTGTCCCTCCCACTTTTTAGATTTAAATACTTAATAGATCCTTAATCCTTCCAATTTTGATCCTAGTTACGTCCCTGACCAAAATCATGAGATTTCTCGGAGTTTTCCTTTTGTTGTAAAATGTAGACAGTAAGGGGAAGGTCTAGAGATGCCGGACCTCGAATTCCAATCGTCACCTCTCATGGAAGATTATATGAACCAACTGAGCTAAACTCAGTGGATACATCCCAATATTCATCACCTACTGTTGCAGCAAAGGGCTGCTGCAGGGGAGGCGGAACAAGAGGCTATGTTCCTGGTTAGCAAATTGTACATGTAACAGAGAATGATCATGCCGAGTTCTCACATATCAATTACTTGTAGGTGGCATTTCAGGGCTCGTTGGTATGCTACGAGTAAATTACCCTCCAATTTTTAGCTATCGAGTTGAAAATGCACCGATCCTTTACCATATTTGAGATTCACCACCAGCCCTATCAGATGATCACTAAAGTTCTTATTTTGCACTCGACGTCGAGGAACACAACCAAATATTACCTCAACATTGTTAAGCTCAAAGTCCCGGTCGTGAGCCAAACACAAGCTCCCGAATGTTTCACAAGGTCCGCTACTTCCACTCAAACTAAGGAAATCACAGAACATGAAAAAGAGACAACATTGTTAATAAAAGTATTAGTTGGAAGAATTGTAAAAGAGAAAACCCCAAAACTGCAACTTACAGATCTGCATCCAAGCACAGAGCAAAGTTGTTGCCGCCACCAAGTGCTAACAAGTCATTCAAACATATATAATAATAACGATTGGCACCTGTTTAGATCGGTACGACACAAGATCAAAGCCTATAATAGCACAGAAATACATTCAACATCGGTCCAATGCATGTATGGACACAAGTATGGAGATATGACCCTCAATGGAGCCTCCGCGGAAAAACTCAAACAAATTGAACATACATGCGCCAGACACATACCTGTACCCAACAAACCCGAGCCCAAGAAACATGGATTGCTTATGCCATCCATCAAGGTCAATCATTGCAGGAAAGAAACAAATAATCTGTTCAAAAATACTAATCTTTATTTGACAAAATTGCTTACCAGTTGGTCTAAATAGCATAGGTTCACCATGTATGGTTGTGAATACAAATGTCTGATGTGTTCCCTGTCATAGAACAAGAGAAATAAAGCTAAAAGCCAAGGGACGTCATGCTGAAAACCATATTCCTAAATTAAAGAGGCATGTCATCATACTTGATGTTTTCTTTTTGGAGTAGGCTTCAAGGTGCATTCTAGCATTGCACCGAAGACCGCTCCTTTCCTATCTCCAGAAATCTAGAATCCGTACGATTCCATGAAAAAAAATTCAAGGTTCAGATAGAAAGCCTCTAAAGAGAATATATCTATTAACATATAACCATGAACATACCAGCAAACAAGGGCCAGGGAGCTCAGCACTCCTTCGAATAAATGATATACCGTGTTTCAACGTACTGCCCCTCATTTCAAAGAGTCAATACCAAATCAAAAATACAAATGAAGCTTTCGCCAAAAGAACTTAAAAGCTTATTGCAAAACTTACCTATACAACAACATCCATCCATCGACACCCTTTAACAATATTGGGAAGGGAAGACACCAAGAATGCATACAAATCAGGTGTAATAAACACTGATTCATCTGAAAGGTTCAGTGGAGGCTTTACTGGACTCCGCTGAACTTGTGCGTCTTGATATTCATCGGAATCACTGCTACACCTTTCAGAGGTACGATCCTTATTCTTGCACCGAGGATTAAGAGTCCACTTGTTGTCATTATGTTTTGAAATTTTCTTCTTAACCTCATGAGCCTTTTGTAAGTTTTCCAAGGATTCATCTTGCAACTCAAATGTCCTACATTTCCATCTAACAGGATGACTTCCATGATCATTCGATTTAGACCCACCTAAGCTTACAGCAGGGGTAATGTAAGAATGAATCGAAGACCAAGTGCTTGATCCTTGGGAATAAAATCTGGCCTAAATATTCAAAAACTTCGCATCATCAGATCGCTGAAAACTACAATTCACAAATAAATTATAACTTCAAACACATACAAATCAAATGAAACATAAAATAATCAAAACAAAGAAGAAAAAACAACTTGAAATAAAGAAAGAATATTTAATAAACAAAGAAAAAACACAAAATTCAGCTGCCCCTGTTGGGATGAGGAGGAGGATTTAGATGATTAAATATATATATATTTACATAAAATATCTGTATTCTTTTACTTCGAACAAACCCCATTTTTCTTCTTATTCTCTTGAAAAATCAAAAAGCTTACTTTAATAAAGTTTCATCATTCCCATGAATTATGTTTCTCCGTTATCAAAACTCTCTCTGCTTTGCACACTTATCCAAGTGCATTAAAATATTATATCTTGTTTTAGCTAAAACCCACTAATCTTTCCTACAAAAACAAATGATTTGATCCAAAAAATCCACCCAGAAAAAATGGGTTTTTGTTTATCTTCAAGACCCTTGTTCCTTTTCATTTCATTCCTTGTTTTGTTTCCAGATCCTAAGCTTTATCCGATGGTGGAATCCGGTTCAGACATCACAGCTCTGGTCTACAAAGGATGTGCAAAGCAGGCGTTCACAGATCCAGCAGGGTTATTCTCCCAGGCTCTTTTGGCTTTGTTCCAAACATTGGTTTCACAATCCATGAAACTAAGGTTTTACAAGACAACGACAGGGACAGCTCAAACCACCATTAACGGTCTTTTCCAATGTAGGGGGGACCTAACGAACAACGACTGCTACAACTGCGTGAGTCAGCTCCCAACTTTATCCGACAAACTCTGTGGCAAATCCATTGCTTCAAGGATCCAACTTCACGGCTGCTACATCTTGTACGAGGTTGCCGGATTCCCCCAAATATCTGGCATGCAAATGCTGTTCAAAGCTTGTGGCGGCGGCGGCGGCGGAATTGGATTTCAAGAGAAAAGGGACACTGCCTTTTCGTTTCTGGAGAATGGTGTTATCAGCAACCATGGATTCTTTACCACGAATTACCAATCTGTTTACGCTTTGGGAGAGTGTGAAAGTGACGTGGGGGATTCGGATTGCGGTGATTGCGTTCGAATTGCAGCTCAAAGAGCTCAAGTCGAATGCGGAGAATCGAGTTCGGGTCAAATTTATCTGCACAAATGTTTCATTATGTACGCATACTACGCCAATGGTGCCCCTAAACAACCGTCGTCTTCGCATCTTTCGTCTTCTTCGTCAGGCCAAGATACAGGGGAAACAGTGGCGATAATACTGGGAGGGGCAGCTGGAGTTGGATTTGTTGTTATTTTGTTGATGTTTGTCAGAAATGCGATGAAACAACACGATGGTATGCCATTTCTTTTTAGTGATCTGCAAGATTTCTCCATTAATGTTTTTGAATTTTCTTTTTTTTGGTTGCAGATTCTTGAAGGGTTTTCAGAGCCCATTCCTTGGTGTAGAGTGTAGAGACTTTTCTTCTCTTTGTTGATTTGATATGACTTCCCTTTTGTGTTGAATTTTTTAACAAAGACTTAGGCATTAGGGGGAAGCAATGAAATCGTAACACAATGCCAAAAAAAGTTTCTTTCATTTAGGTGTTTTTATTCCAAGACTTCACCTTTGATAATTGGTGAGTCTTTTAATAGGGATTTTATTTATATACATAGACTCGAATTTTAGATATTACTTGAGTGACATTAAATTGTTTAACACTTGAACTAACTCATCTTAATAATATCATTCGATTGTAAATATAATCAAAATTTAATATCATTATTAAGTATTAAAAATTAATATCAATTGATATATTAAAGATTAAAGAGCGAGTTAAACTCTTCAAACTTAATAAATTTTGATCTTATATTTTTCGAAGAGATCAAAACTTATTTTAATTTTGATGTTAAATAAAAATAAAATATAGTAATAAAAGTTATCGTGGAAAGGCTATACATGGAGATAGAGAACTCCGAGTTTTATTGATTAGTCCATGTACCAACCACATGCAAATTTAGCCCTTCTTATCTAATATAAACTCTATATTCATTTATCGTCCATGTATCTTTCATTTCGTGTGTATTATATTTGGTCCGTCTTAGTATCTAAATTTTTAATTTTTTAAATCATACTAAAATTTAGTTTTTGTTTCGTTTTAGTATTCTGTTCAAAAAATTAACATTAAGTTTGAAAAGAAAATAAAGTTTAGGTAATAAAACAAACCAAAGTTGATAGTTTAGATATTAAACGCGTTAAGTTTTTAATGGTGAGTACTAAAATGAAATAAAAACTAACTATTATATATGGTTTTGAAAAATTGAAAGTTTAACTACTAAAATGGATTAAAACTGATAGTTTATGTACTAAATGTGTAGTTTACCCTTCAAATTTTAAAATTTCATTTTTTAACTCAAATAATAATTATTAAAATTTAATACTAAAAATGATCAAATTGAGGAAGAGCGACTAAATTTACAACTTAATCATAGTATATGAACTAATAAAAAAATTTAACTAAACATATTCAACTACTATTGTTTGATTTGTCAATGAAATTTTAAAATATAAAAAATATAAGGATTGAAAATATATGAACTAAATTTAGAATAATAATTTTAATTAAAAATTATCAAGAAATAAAATAAAATAATTAATCAATTAAAACAAGGGCTTCTACGGGTCAAAACTCCTTAATTTCACGGAAGAAATACTAACTTCCTTTCTGTATCTTCCTTTTGATAATAATCTCTCACCCTGATCGTCGTCGGAGATAATTTCGACGACGAGAATCGGGTCCATTTCCGTCGTTATAACAAGAAGAACATTAATATACCTAAACTAAAAGGAAACAAAATTTTCTTTTGTCTTTTCCTTTTAAAAGCTAAATTATGAGCGATTTGAAAACGCCATTCCAGCTCTTGGAACTCAACGTGATCTCGGCACAAGATTTGGAGCCGATATGTCGCCGTCGCAAGATGCGAACCTACGCGGTGGCTTGGGTCCATTCGGAGCGAAAACTCTCCACCCGAATCGACAACCGAGGTCACGTCAACCCGACGTGGAACGACAAGTTTATTTTCAAGGTGGACGAAGAGTTCCTTTACCGCGAAACATCTGCGATCATGATCGAGATCTACGCCGTCCATTGGTTCCGTGACGTCCACGTGGGAACCGTTCGAGCCATCGTCGGAAATCTCATTCCTCTCATCACTTCCAGGCCGAATAGGCGCGACGAAGTTCAATTAGGGACTACGTTCGTCGCGCTTCAGGTTTGGAGGCCATCGGGACGGCCGCAAGGGATATTGAACATCGGGGTGACGTTAATCGATAGCTCGAAGAGGAGCATGCCATTGTATCTTCAAATGGGGTCATCGGCGATTGGGTACAAGCATTTAATGGGCGAAGAAGAGTACCCGGTTTCCACCGCTTCGAAAAGCAACGACGATGAAAACCCAAGTCCTTTGCCTAAACCGAAGCTCCGACGAACCAAGAGCGATTCGAGTTCAGTTTTCCCTTGCGATTTGCAGCCTAAGATACCCGGTGGCGGCGGCGGTTCCATGGTTAACGGGTTTGAACCCATAAAGAAGGGAGGCTCCATGGTTGACGGCTTTGAACCCGTAAAGAGGGGAGGCTCCATGGTAAATTACTCCGTCGGGAATGTTAATCCGGGGAAGGGTAAATCGGGTTCTGTTGTTAACGGATCATCGGAGGAGGTTAATCAAAAGGGAAGTTCCATGGTAAATTTCCCGGTTTCAAAGATTACTTATAAAAGGGTAGCATCCAGGGGGAGCTCAATGGTAAATTACACCGTCAGGAAACTTAATCGAAGAAAGGGAAAATCAGGTTCAGTTGTTGACGGGGTGGAGGATCCGGAAAGAAAATCAAGAAAGGGAAACTCAAATTCAAGTTCGGTTGTTAACGGGTCGGAGGATCCGGAAAAAGGAGGGAGAAAGGGAAAATCAAGATCGGGTTTGAAAACACCGCAAAGAAAGTCACCGAGCGGTTCATACGTCGGGGCTCCAAGAAAAGCGGGTGGGGAGAAAGCTTGGACCGATTCAGAAATAGGTCCGTCGCCGTCGGAAGTGGCGGCGAATATGGCGAAAAACATGCAGCATAACAGATTCGATGACTGCGAGAGTTCCATATTAGGGTGGAGTATAGAAGACGACGACAGCATCGAAGGGCTTCGATCCAAGCTGGAACGGTGGAAAAATGAACTAACGCCGGATCGCGACTGGAGCAGCGACGGTTCTAGTACCTGGTCGGGGTCTAGCATTCCGTCCTCCGAACGGAGAAGACATGCTAGAAGACACTCCGACGGTGGCGGATCGTTTGCATGCTTTGGTAACATTTGTGGGTGCCAGATTTACATTACTTGCGGCGGAGGCGGTGAGGAACCCACCGGTAATAGAAGGCATCGAGCACCCGATAGCTCCATTGCAGATGACATGAGTTACCTTTGAAATAGACAAAAAGATAGTCAGGGACTTAATTGAAAAGGAAGTAAATTTTGAGTGGCCATTGATGCAAATACCTGGAACTATAAAGGTTTGGATATATTAACAAACTTTTTATCCAGTCCGTGAGCTCTTTTCCTGATTTAAGTTTAATTATTCGTAATATTTATTTATTAAATTTACTAAACAATATATTATTATAATTATTTTTTAAAATATTTATTAAATAATATCAGGAAGTTGAAAGTTCAATTTAGTTAAAAATAAGAGGACTAGGATTACCAATATGCCTTTTTCTTTCATTTAGTTTAGTACTTTAGTTCGCAAAAGGTGCCAAGCTGTACCAAGACACGAAAGACAACTTTAAGGTTATCGGTTCTGTAATAAAAGGAGGTTTGGAAATTCCTTTGAGCCGCGTACCCTGTCGGATGACGTGGCGTTTCAACTGCGACTGAAAAGCACGTGCTCTTGCCTGTTTGTCCACGTTGCTTTTGTCTTATGTTATTAAAATTAGTATTCATTTTATTTTATTATATAGTTCATTTTGATCTATGCATTTTTATTTTTTAGTTTTTTAATTTGATCTAAAAAATAAAAAAAATTGATGATAATTATTAATAATTTTAGGCTTAAACTAATTTTTGTTTCTTAAACTATATTTTTTAGTACCTAAACTACTTTTTATCAAAATAAATCCCGACTGCTATCCTAAACTATTTTTTTTCTTAAACTACTTCCCTTCAGTGGTTTTTCCCCATCGACCTTCCATCAACGTCGGCCCTACTCCTTCGGTTTCCGTTTCCGGGACTAAAAGAGCCGCCGCCGACGGTGGCTCTCCTACTGCTATCAGGTATAAATGGGATTGTTTTTCCAAAAACGCTAACTACTTTTAGCGACGTTTCTTTTCCCGACGTTTTGTTAGTGCCTCTAGGTTATTGGGACATCTGAAAACGCCACCAATACCCTAAAACACTGTGGCTCTGAGAGTGTTGGTCTAATAACAATTTAAGTCCTTATAAGTTTAAGTATTTAGATAAATTAGGCCTTATCCCCTCAAATTTCGAGTTTAAATACTTAATAAACCCTTAGATTTTTAAGTTCAATAATTTAACCTCTTTTGATGTTCCATGTTGTTTTGAATCAGTCAAGTTGTGGGATGGTCACCCATAAGGTCTTATAGGATGAACAGCTTGGTTAACCAAGCTAAAGTACCGAGAGCTGAAGAAAACAAAGGGACTAATGAAGAAATAACCCAAAAGAAGATGGTTCTAAACTGGAAAAAAAGTGACGAAAAATTAGTGCATATTGGGTACATCAAGGTCAACATGGATGGTATTCGTATAGGAAGAAAAGTTGATTTGAATGCTGATTCTTCTTATGAGAGTTTGGCTCGAGCACTCGAAGACATGTTCCTCCGATCCGCTAACTCCGGAGGTAGTGTCGAAACAGAGGCTAGGTTTATTCAGTAACTTTAAGGTTCGATTTATTGAACATTACCCTTTCGTGAGTGCTAAGAAGGAACAACAAACAATGGCCTCTAAGCTTTTGGATGGATCGTCTGAATTTGTTTTGACTTATGCAGACAAAGAGGGAGATTGGATGCTTGTAGGAGATGTACCATGGGTGTATGCTTCTATGTTTTTAATCCGAAATCAACCTAATCAGGAAAAAAAAATCAAAAGTACTGTTTGATCTTTCCATGTTTTTGATATGTTTTTCGTATTACAGGATGCTTCTCACCTCGGTCCGGAGGCTCCGAATCATGAAGACCTCCGATGCCAATGGACTCGGTGAAATTTTACTATTCCGTCTCCGGTTTTTTTGTTCGGTTTCTCGATTTATGGTTCCAGTCATTCATCCGTTGCAGCTCCGAGATTTGAAGACAGGACAGAACGGCAAAGAAGCAAGCCAATATAGCGTCATTGGCAACACGATCCATCATTTAAATTCCATATAAACAACATGAAAAAGGCAACATTGTAATCCAAGGTGTTTCCCTTCTCTTCTCTTCTCTTCTGTTTGAAATGTTTTTCCTTCGTGTGTGATTCTGACATTCAAAGTGTTCCCCTTCTCTTCTGTTTTATGCTTTAATTTTAATCCAAGGTTCAGGGTGTTTTGCTTTTGATGATGTTGATGTGTGTTCATACGGATAAAAGAAAAACGTTATAAAATCTGAATGAGTCGAATCATCCATCATGAGTCGAGTTGGATAAGATTTGTAGTCTATGTTTAATGCGAATATGGTACTCCTCTATCTATCATCCGATAGGGAAGTTCTAAATGACCTAAAATTCCACTTGAATTTTATTGTAAAAGACTTTTGCCTGACTTTACACAATATATATATATCGTTAAATATATAAAAATCAATTGTACTATTATTTTCGAGTTAGACCGATTATTTTTCACTCCGAATCTGGATCTGAATTCGATTTTTTAAAAAGAAATATAGAATTAGGTCAAATCAAAATGCATCATAGTCAGATTAAATCTTGATCAGAACTTGGATGGGTGGATATATGATCATGTTGGCTTATTCTTTAGAAGCATCATTCTCTACAAGTGCCGCAGTTTGAACCAACAGCAGCAATGGATTACATTTTATAATTTGAGTCGGACTTGAACCTCAACTCTGATCACATCTGGGTAATGTTTTCCATTTCTCTACCGTCAACCCTATCCAGTTAAAATATCATTAATCATATTAAAATGTTTTTTAGTTATTAAAATTTTTAAAATTATAAAATTATCATTAAATCTATCGGGATTGTGAAAAAATAGTCCAGGGACGGAGCTAGGAATTTTATAATATGGTGTCATATTTTTAAATTATGGTATTTAAACAAGTCATATAAATTAATACATACATTTAAATTCGATAAATTAATGTAAAATATAGTTAAACTAATCTAAGAGTTAAGACTATTACAAAGCTATTAAAATAATAATTGAAAAATATACATACATACTAGGGGTGTTCATTTTTTTATTTTAATCGAATTTATCGACCGAATTAAATTAACTCGGTGAAAACGCCCGACCACTAAATTAGTTCGGTGGGAAACAATTATTTTTTTCAATATTTAACGGTTAATTCTATTTAAAATCAATTAATTAACTGAATTAAGACCCACTTTTTTTTAATCACACTAGATCCATTAAATTATCAAGAACTAATTAAATTTTGACCCAAATAAAAAAAAATATCTATCTTAAATTTAAATGAATATAACTAAGAAATATATTAAAAATTTTGATAACTCGGTCATCGATAGAATTAATCAAACTTTATTCAATTCGATTCGGTTAATGGTTAAAGAAAAAAAATCAATTAATTCGATTAATAAAAATTTGATTCGATTGGTGACTGAATTAATAGAATGAAGACCCTTAATATATACTGTGTCAATTTTTTAAGTGTCATTTTTTTAATTATATATATATATATATATATTGGGGTTGCTTAAATCAATCAAATGTAATGTGAGGCATGAGAGATAGTGATGAAGAACGGAAGACATAAAGGTAATATGCAATCATTTTGATTTAGACAGTGCAGATTACAAGCCATTGATGGACAATGGTGGGTCTCCCCATTTATCATTATTAATTTCTTTTTTAATTCATTTAGGTCCATCTGTTCTATACTATGCCTCTCATTCAGGTAGGCTCATGCAAAACAAGGAATGATACAATTTCGAAACCCCAACAGCTGTTGATGGGCTGTAATAGGGAACAAGATAGGTTTGGCAATTATGCATGTTCAATTGACTAGTCACACATTTCAAAGAGCCAAAAGAGTCTGTCGTGCTGTAGGGTTCATATGTTTTCAGGTGTGGCAATTACGGTTATTATACTCTTTTTAATTATATTACGTTTATCGTGATTACGACAATAACTTATACCGTTGCGGATATCACATTGCACAATAACGATTTCATTTGATATTTTTATCGTTATTTAATGGTCATTATTCTGATAACAGATAATTATTTAAATTCATGTTTATCACCCTCATAATTTTTACCCATATTAATAAAAAATAGTGCATTACGGGTTTAATACATAAACTATCATTTTTAATTTATTTTAATACCTAAACTTTTATTTTTTTTCAAAAGCATACCTAAATTTTTTTTCATTTTAGTACCTCTGTTAAAAATTTAATGTTAAATTTTGAAATCTTTTTTGAAAATTTAGGTACTAAAATGACCAAAATTGATAGTAAACACGTTGAGTTCTTAACGGCAAGATATTAAAATAAAACAAAAATAAACGTTACATATGATTTTGAAAAATATGAAAATTTATTTACTAAATGTATAATTTATCTAAAAAACCATTTGATATTGATTTATTTAAAAATATATTAAAAAAAATAGAAAATTTTATATCTTAAAATTATTTAGAGAAATTAATTTTATTGCAAATAATAAATGGATTCGAATTTTAAAGCAACTTTTGCACATTCAAGTTTCACCATATTATTATTACCAAAGAACAATTTCAGTTTTGAAGGTGAAGAAAAAGATTACAACGAAGATGAAGCCCAATACAACCCAAGCATCGTCTTCTCATTTTATGTTCCTTCTCAGCCTCTACTTATTCATATGACTCGTACATTATACTTAACACAAGTTCCTTACTGCAAAAACTCTCTTGGATCGGTGACATAACCGGTCAAAGCCGATGCAGCTGCTGTATAAGGAGAAGCAAGATATATCTGGCCTTCCTTGTGCCCCATCCGACCGGGAAAGTTCCTGTTTGTTGTTGAGACACAGACCTGCAATGGCGATCCCATTAAATTTCTCAAAGGCGAGTATATGTTTGATACGAGTATGCTCAACATTTCCAGTGTTTTTATATATTTGAAAACAAATCATATGTTATTGAAGGTACACCGGGTGAAGAAAAATAATTACCTTAGGTTCATTCATACGTGCATATGTGTCTTTAGGGCCACCCAAACAAGCGCCGCAGCTAGGGCTAGCAGGTGTATCACAGCCAGCTTCTTCGAAAATCTGAGAGCATGTCTTCCCACCGGATCCGGGTACAGGTAGAGTATACAAGTCCAACCAAACCTGCCAGTTTTAACGAGTTAATACACACATTCTTCTATCTTTACTTCCTTGATTCTGATCACAAATCGGATAATGTTTTAATTATTGATGATATCGAGCAAACACCTTCTGTGTAGCGGGTACGAGAAATGTGGGAACTTTGACCTTCTTTCCCTGCAGGTCAAGCAACCTAAATTTTCAGACACAGCTTAATATTCGCTATAGCTCCTCGGGATAGGAATGAGAATGTATGGCTCTTACCGAAGCTAGAAAGACTTTAGCAGCAGTAAGAAAATCTTCGGTTTTTCCACCAGTACAAGATCCTATATATACTCTGTCGATTTTCACATCTTTGCATTCTCTTGCCAATGCACGATTATCAGGAGAATGTGGCTGCAAAATACATTAAGAGACCAGTCCAAGAGAAAAAAAGAAGATATCAGTCCAATGTACAGACAGACATGCACAAGAGAAGAAGGCAACGATGAAGATCGAATTAAAAGTGACTTTTATGACATACCCACCTTAGCCACCAATGGCTCCAACTTTGAGATATCAAATCTGTACTCGGAAAGAAAACTGGAAGCAAGACCCAAAAGGTGTAATCATATTAGGACTGTCTCAATGCAGTTCCAAGCATAAAATGGTACAGTAAATATCAGTCATGAAAGAACATAAAAACATCCTATTGAATCAATTGAGTAGTAGCAGACGCGGCCATCATAATACGAAAATGTTCTCTTCATCAACCATTTAATCACAAAAATATACCTTGCATGTGCATCACTGTAAACTGGTTCATATGACAGAGATGTTTTATCCTATGCAAAGCAAACAATAGTAAACCATAAGCTAGGCATGAAAGCATAGCAATAGACATTAAATGAAATCAATCTGGTTCGATGATTTTTTGCCCTCACCTCAAGGTACTTAAATGTAGTACTATCAGCGGGAACGACTCCATTCTTTCCCCCGGCTTCAACAACCATATTGCATAACGTCATCCGTTCTTCCATCTACCAAATACAAATAATCAGAATGCCAAATTCATGATTTCTTCCCAAAAGGAATCAAACTAGGTCAAATGTTTTTCTAAGGACTTAATGTTAAAAGTTATGCAACATTTCAGGTTCACTTACATTTAGACTTTCAACAGTAGTTCCAACAAACTCCATGGATTTATATGTTGCACCAGCTACAGATATTTCACCAATGATCTGCCCAACAGGAACTGTTGTTAAAAAACATATATGACCAACCATTATATAAAACAGTGATCACCATGAACAAAGAGTAATATCCCCACAGGAATATAATTAAGAATTAAAGCATATCAAAAGGGAATAATTGCCTAAAAAGTATATGATCTTACCTGCAAAATCAAATCCTTTGCAAGCAGATAAGGAGGCATTTCACCATCCATCACAATCTTAAAGTTGGTGGAACCTGCGATTGAAAATACAACCAAATACGTGTAAAAATTTACCACTAAATTAATCATAATTTTGTAAGTACCAGACTTCAACACATAAAATCCTAAATGTCTGTTCAAAAACAATAAATAATAATTAACAAACCTTGAGCAGAAGCTTCCCGGTGCCTAATACAAAGCCTGCATCTGTATTTCCAATTCCCGTAGCAAATTGACCAAATGCTCCAGCAGTACAGGTATGAGAATCTGTCCCTAACAAAACCTGAAGGCAGATAAAGAACATAACAGCAATGAAACACTCTCCAGGCCTGCAGTGACCCTCTTGGGCAAGTGCAACATGGCATACTCCTTTGTAATTGGGGTTTGCCTGCAATGTTGTGAATTAGGATTCAACTCTATGTCAATAAACAGAGAATATACCTAGTTCCTCAGAATATTGCACCAGAAATGAATGAAAAGATAAAGAGTGTCATACCTTAAAATTACCGAGATCTTTTATATCATAAAAATACTTGATATTTTGCTCCATGCAAAAATCCCTCAAAATATCCACATTACGATTCGCACGTTC